TATCTTATTTGATGTATATGCGGTCGATCTTGGATACCTATTATTTTATTCTATATTTTTCTTTGCAGGAATTTGTTTAAAACGAATTTCATATTGATTTTTCTCATAGCAACCTATGTAAATCGTCTCGTGAGTTTTAGTTTTCGTACATGTATGGTAGAATATGCCAATATTTTTACTCGTGCCGTACTTGTGAAAATATGGTATCGAACGAAAACCGATGAATATTGTCTATACTAATCTTTTGTTATGTGTGGTTTTATGTAAGTCCAATTTGGATTACAAATTCCTGTCAGTATGTAACGGCAATGGTGATAACTTTTGTGAAGTTTGTAGATATAATGTAAGCCCAATAGTATACTGCGATATTCGTAAATCGTTCTTGCATGTTGTTTCATTTGTGGTTTGGGTTTTGACAACACACTGATCAGACCAATATATCAGTAATACAATAAGGTGCGCATAATGGCATACTGGTAGCTGATATGTATATATTACATAAATGTGATCAATTCATCATCCAATTCTGTCAATAAAATACACCGCCCTACTCATAGAGCTATGATATAAAGTTAAGAAATAAATACCAATGTGTCAACATTTAATAACAAAATTATTAAACTTGAGAGGAAGTACCGATAGAAATTTAACATGTTCAGCCATTAATCTGTCAAATTACTGGTATTGCATTCTGTTGACATAATTGAAATAGAAAGGCTTATGAAAATGTCACTGTAATATTTTCAGTTTTTGTTATTCAAAATGATGGAACGAGAAATGCATTTGCAAAGTTGCAGTTGGAGCTCAGTTGCAGTTGGAGCTCAGTTGCAGAACGTCTTAGTCTACAGTCGGTCGATGTGCGGACTTCTTTGTCGCCAAGGCGACAATTGTAACTGTGTTGTCTTTACTTCGATAGACACAATGTGCTGCACATATGCTATTCCGATAATATAACCCACTGCTGAGGAGGCAACATCTTAAACAGGGGAAGATAATGTCTGGGTACGTCGATAGTTAAACAGAAGAAATCATTTTTAGTCTAATACATGTAGTATCACAGGAGAACGTCGTGGTATTCTGAAAGTGTCACATGATAACGTCGTTATACTCTGATAGAATCACACGATAACGTCATGGTACTCTGGTAGTGTCACAGGGTCACGTCGTGGTACTCTGATAGTGTCACAGGGTAACGTCGTGGTACTCTGATAGTGTCACAGGGGAACGTCGTGGTTCTCCGATAGTGTCACAGGGTAACGTCGTGGTACTCTGATAGTATCACAGGGTAACGTCGTGGTACTCTGATAGTATCACAGGGTAACGTCGTGGTACTCTGATAGTATCACAGGGTAACGTCGTGGTACTCTGATAGTGTTACAGGGTAACGTCGTGGTACTCTGATAGTGTCACAGGGTAACGTCGTTATACTCTGATAGAATCACACGATAACGTCGTGGTACTCTGATAGTGTCACAGGGTAACGTCGTGGTACTCTGATAGTGCAACAGGATAACGGCGTAGTACTCTTATAGTGTCACAGGAGAACGTCGTGGTACTCTGATAGTAACACGGGAGAACGTCGTGGTACTCTCGTAGTGTCACAAGAGAATGTCGTGTTGCTCTGATAGTGTCACAGGATAACGTCGTGGTACTCTAACAGTATCACAGAAAAAAGTCGTTATACTCTTAAAGTATCATAGAAGAAAGTCGATATTTTCTAATAGAATCATAGGAGAACGTCGTGATACTCTGATAATATCACAGAAAAATGTCGTGGTACTCTGATAGTATCACAGAAGAACGTCGTGGTACTATGAAAGCATCACAGAAGAACGTCGTGGCACTCTGATAGTATCACAGGAAAAATGCGTGGCACTCTGATAGTGTCACAGGAGAACGTCGTGGTACTCTGATAGTTACACGGGAGAACGTCGTGGTACTCTAATGGTATCACAGGAAAAGCGTCGTTATACTCTGATATCATCACAGGATAACGTCGTGGTTCTCTGATAGTATCACAGGAGAACGTCGTGGTATTCTGATAGCATCACAGGATAACGTCGTGGTACTCTGACAATATCACAGAAAAATGTCGTGGTACTCCAATAGTATCACAGAAGAACGTCATGGTACTCTGAAAGCATCACAGGAAAACGTCGTGGTACTCTGAAAGCATCACAGAAGAACGTCGTGGCACTCTGATAGTATCACAGGAAAAGCGTCGTTATACTCTGATATCATCACAGGAGAACGTCGTGGTATTCTAATAGTATCAAAGGAGAACGTCCTTACACTCTGACATTATCGCAGGAGAACGTCGTGGTAATCTGATAGCATCACAGGATAACGTCGTGGTACTCTAACAGTATAAAAAGAAAAACGTCGTGACACCCTGATAGTGTCACAGGAGAACGTCGTAATACTCTAATATCATCACAGGAGAACGTTATGGTACTCTGCTTATATCATAAAAGAACACCATGGTAATCAGATAGTGACACATGATAACGTCTTGGTACTCTAACAGTATCACAGGGAAACGTCGTGGTACTCTAACAGTATCACAGGGAAACGTCGTGGTACTCTAACAGTATCACAAAAAAACGTCGTTGTACTCTAACAGTATCACAGAAAAATGTCTTGGTACTCTAACAGTATCACAGGGAAACGTCTTGGTACTCTAACAGTATCACAGAAAAATGTCTTGGTACTCTAACAGTATCACAGGGAAACGTCGTTGTACTCTAACAGTATCACAGAAAAACGTCGTGGTACTCTAACAGTATCACAGAAAAACGTCTTGGTACTCTAACAGTATCACAGGGATAGGTCGTTGTACTCTAACAGTATCACAGAAAAACGCCGTGGTACTCTAACAGTATCACAGAAAAACGTCGTGGTACTCTGGCAGTGTCAAAAGGAGAACGTCGTGGTACTTTGATAGTTACACAAGAGAACGTCGAAGTTATCTGATAGTATCAAAGGAAAAACGTCGTAATACTCTAATATCATCAGAGGAGAGCGTTATGGTACTCTGATAATATCATAGAAGAACGCCGTGGTACTCTGATAATATCACAGGATAACGTCGTGGTTCTCTGATAGTGTCACTGCAGAACGTCGTGGTACTGTGATAGTGTCACAGGAGAACGTCGAAGTTATCTGATAGTATCACAGGAAAAACGTCGTTATACTCTAATATCATCACAGGAGAACGTTATGGTACTCTGATAATATCATAGAAGAACACCGTGATACTCCGATAGTGCCACAGGAGAACGTCGTGGTACTTTGATAGTAACACAGGAGAACGTCGAAGTTATCTGATAGTATCACAGGAAAAAAGTCGTAATACTCTAACATCATCAGAGGAGAACGTTATGGTACTCTGATAATATCATAGAAGAACACCGTGGTAATCAGATAGTGACACATGATAACGTCGTGGTATTCTGATAGTATCACAGGATAACGACGTGGTTCTCTAATAGTATCACAGGAGAACGTCGTGGTACTCTAATAGTATCACAGGAGAACGTCGTGGTACTCTGATAGTGTCACAGGAGAACGTGGAAGTTATCTGATAGTATCGCAGGAAAAACGTCGTAATACTCGTGGTACTCGTATATCATCACAGGATATACCACTTAACCAAACTGATAATTTACCTGTTGACGTTATGGTTTCAAGAATGTTTGAATGTGAGTAATTCTATAGAAAATACATGTATTTCATATCAACTGTTAATTGTTATTTTTATATTATTTAAACTTGCTTGTAACAAGCATTTTCATTGGCTTAACAATTTATGTTATCAGCCCATAACGTAAAAAAATGACGTCGCCGTTTGTAACACCGCTTTTGATTGGCTGATAAAGCAGCGCAATAATTTCTAAGAGAAAAGAGTCCATCAATAAAAGTGTATTTCCGCAGGGATTGTGTATAGAAGATTAAATTATGAGGATTAACTTGAATATATTTTTCATGTTATGGAGCTATAACACACAAAAAACGGAGTGTACTCTCATCATAAACCGCTTCGCGGTTTATTCAAATTTTTAAATAAATAGTCATGGGATGAGGATGTGGACACATTTCCATTTGTTTAGTTCTTTGATCCAACTATATCACTGTAATTTAATACTTCTATATCGCCTTGCGTTGTTTCACCATATAGATAAGTTTTCCTTTTAATTTATTTCACATTCTTCTCACAAAATTGCATTAGTTGTTTGTTTTTTGCTAAACCGTATGAATGAAAGTGTATATATTTATTACCTTTATCTTAATTAAATAACCTTTTATTTTCTCAATAAATTGTGTTTGACTGTTGATGCCTCATTTTGATCCCCATTTATCATCGTCATCTCAGAAACATTTACATCATGTAAAACATTCTAACTCTGAGTTAGGAACGAATACAAACATAATAAAGACAAAAATGTTGAATCTGTATATACAATCATGCATACAAATATATTTACACTACATGTCTGCACTCAGTCTCTGCACCTGCTGGTGCCCTCTCGCTAATACTTAAAACAATATGAACCTTACAGAGAATACAAGAGTTTTATTTTTATTTTTAAGCAGGTCAATACAGAAAAACACTACAATCTATTGACACATGCTTTTGCATTGTTTATTTTCCACATACATATTTTTCAATACTGAATCAAACTTAAATCAGGAAAATAGAATTTGTTCAAATACATCTATCTTTATCGACACGATAAAAGCGGATAGTACATACATTGTGTTATTATTTGCTGAGGTATTTGGCCTAAATTCAGGGAGTTTTTGAAGTTCAATTAATATATAATTGAATATAAAGACCCGACCAGCATTTAAGGATCGAATAATACAGATTTGAATAGTCCGTTATATTGAAAAATATAATATCATTGAGTACTATCCATATATAAATATTTACATATATAAACAAAGGTCATTATAAATATAGCTGTATTAATATTTCTATATATTTTTTAAACCACGTCATGTTTTAATGACAAATTATCCATTAATCTATTTTGAAATCAATTTTACCAGGATTTTGTTAATGTTTTTACCTACTGAACCAAGGAATTTAGGTTTTCTAAGGCGCTTTAACAATATATCGAGATCTAAGATGCCTGAATGCTGACAAACGGTTTACAACAAGTAGCATGACATCAAAGCAACAATGTTGATGATGCCACGTCAACAGCATAATTTGACACAATCAAGTTCTTTCTTAAGACGACGTTGTCAAAGATCAGAACAACACCCACCTTTTTGACAGATTTACAGTGCAGCATTTGAAAGGAATATGAGCGAGATAAAAACATTTTGTAAATTAACATATGTAGCGGTAAAATTCTTCTGAAATTTTCACATCAGCGGTCCAACCACAACATTTTCAACCTCATGATATCAGCTATTATATCTCATAACGGGAATATGTTATATTGATATTTCAAAGTTTGTTATAATGAATTCGAAAGTGCAAATGTTAATTCGCAAAGTTAGAGGATTGCGAATCAAACAAATAAAACAAAATATTTTTCCAGACGTAATTCAACGTTGTGAAACCGTTTTCAATTAAAATTCTAGCGAATGTGTCGTGAGAAAAAATAATCGCAAAAAGAATTATTTGCAAACAGCTTGTGAACAGAAACACATTTTAAGTAAACGAAAACATCAATATCAGCATCATTAACACTTTTAGCATAATATACAGCTGGTCATTGTATTCTCTGACACTTTAAGTTTTGAAAAATTAAAACGTTTCTAAAAATTCAGAATTTGTTATTCTACTAACCCAATCCAAGAACTTGGCGACATGAGTGTAGTAACCGTAGTGGCCAGGCCTATCACAACCGACACCCCAAGATACGATTCCCACCAAATACCAAGGGTCTTCCGTGGTCTTCTGCATTGACAAGGATCCCCCACTGTCACCAGAGCAAGCATCACCAAAATAGGCGCGGTTGTATCCGGCGCAGATCATGGAATCGGTGAAGTTTCCATCTCCTATTCGGGCATGGGAGCAGAACCTTCTGTCCACGTACGGCACAAAAACATCCCGAAGGTAGGGTGGCGTTTCCGTTACCCGTTCGTGAACCCTGCCGCATCCTACTACTCTACCCACGGTCCGACCAAGCCGCCTGTTCATGAAAACGCTTTCAATTGTCTCAAGGGATTGTAGGCAAATCGGTCTGATCCGACGATTATATTCAACAGGGGCGTCGAGTTCAATCAACGCTATGTCGTTGTCATACGGAGCGCGTTTGCCGAATCTTGGATACGGAATATACCTTCGGATTCCTCTTCTTTCTCCTCCTGTTCCGTTACATAGGTCAGTGCCCATGATGAGATCAACGTAACTCGCATCAAATGATTTGTTGAACTCTCTGGAGAAGTGGTCGTTACTGGTACAATGAGCAGCTGTCAGAATCCAAGACTTCGATATCAATGTGCCTCCACAAAATGTTGTCAACTGTAAAACGCAACAAATCTCTTGTCAACATATGCATTTTTTTTTGTTATATCATTACGATTCACTTAACCTTTCAATAATAAAAAAAAATTAGAGGCAAAATTCTAATTATTTTGTTCAATTTTTGATTTTGATATTTCAAAGTTCGTGTTGAAGTAATTTGGGGTAAAAGCAGTGTGTGTTGTATTAAAGTTTCAAGATTTTACCTCACTACACGTGTAACTGTTCACAGGGGAACAAACAAGAAAATGTAGCAAAGTTATCAAAAATGGATCCGCTACACTATACAAAATGTACTCTTCGAATATTAATAGCATTAATTTTACCGCTCAGAATATTCTGTTCGAAGTAGGAAAACGTATATTTTAACTAATTTTTTCATTGTCAACAATTTGGTAATAACGTTTTCTTCTGAGAGAGAATATACAATAAATTATTAACGCATAATACAATTTATACCTGTGGCGATTTTTACAAATTAATATTTCATTTGATAATGCACCTGAGGTAAAGTGTAAATCGTAATCCCTCTTACCTGTATAATATATGAAATGTTGACATCTGGTTGAGGATACATGTTAAAGCGTTATGACGTAGAGTGTCTTCGTAGAAGACTTGAGAGGTAACAACTACCTCTCGAGTTTCTACGAAGACACTCTACGCCACAACGCTAGTTTTCTGGTTGTTAGCACATACACTGTATTTGTTTTAAACGGGTGGAATATATATCGGAGGTTCAACGGAAAAAACATTAAATTCTCTTTTTACTACAATGTTTCAAGTATTGGTATGCAAATATTGCTACATCAGTAAAGTACAGGAATTTGCAGCGTATTATTTGACGCAAGATTTTAATGACATCACGCTTGACAACAAGACTTGAAAGCGCCATTTCGAATTGAGATCTTAATGCAGTTTTGCTGTTTGCTGCTATTATCTGGTAAGATTTCCAAACAAAAAAATATATATCAATGGTGTAGTTATGTAAATACAATAATGTGTTGCGAAAGTTGAACAAAACAACCACTTATGTTGCCGTCGTTTCATCTGAAATTGTAACTAAAAATCTTTATTTGTGAAGATATAACATTTCGTATTTAAAGACTGCAGTAAAGTTAAAAGAGTTTGTCAAGCGAAAAATTCCTGATATTTCACTGGTAAAATGTAAGACAGATATCTTAGTAGTTTACTAATATATTTTTAAGATAATATGCGGCCTCAATTTCCCAGAAGGCTTTCACGCACAGGGAAGCACCGGAAGTGGACAAAGTGTATACAGATCAAACCCATGCGAGGGATTTGAAAAAATAGAGTGACATTTTCTGGCTCATATTAACCGGCTATGATAAAATCAGAACTCATCCATAACTGGATAATGGACATAATAGTTGATTGTTCCAATACTGTAATATTGCTAAAATCATTACTTAGATTACATTATTTTAAATCAGGAAAATATTACACTATATTGGATAGTATATATTACCTCCCTTCGATCCCGTAAGATCACGTGCCATGGCGATGAGCCTTGCTGTACTGATTGACCCCTACTTATTCTTCCGAGTATACGTGGCATCATGTCTGGTATAGATGGTCGTCCGCAATCTTCGGTAGACAAGAATATATCATTATGATATTGTCAATCACCTCTTATTTTATTATTTACAAATACATTATATATATTTGACAATGCTTTTGATTGAGCACCTGCAACTCACCTTTAAATTTGTCATCGTCTGCTGCATAACAGTTATATTTACAAATCAATAGACTTCAAGATATCGTGAATTTTAAACAGCTCTTAAGGTAAGAGTACCAGCATGTTAAATTGTAATATGACCATAATCATTATTTTGAAATATTTAAGACCTTCTCAAAAGAAGTACTCCATAAATATCACATGTTACGATGCAGTTTGAAAAGAGAAATAATAATAATAATTAAACACACACACATACACAGAAAAAGAACAAAAGGAACTGCGTAGGTCAAATTTACGTTATAAAGCCTACACTTCAGGGTGGATACAGAAATTTATTGAGGGTGTTGCCCAAACCAAACATTTAAAATTAATTAAGAATTAATTTCGCCACGACTTTCTACACTTTCACTTCCTATTTTCTCTGTCATCACATTATAGGGATTTATATAGAGAGTATATGCAGCTGATTATAACTAGAACATGGTTTTTTTTTTAATTATTTACTCTCGGCGAATGAAAACCAATTCAAGAAACATGTATACAGCTGACACTCGTGATTGATTCACTGTTGCATCACTTCGGGGCTCCAATTAAACGACGTGCTCTAGATTAAAGCATGAGGTGATGCTAAGAATTTAAGGCGGTGTTTCCTTTTTTTATATATATACATAGGTACATATGCCTAAACTGCCTAGAAAAGATTTGATAATATTACACACACACAAAATAGGACGCAGGTACTGTTTTTTCCTACTAACCGTTCAGTTCAACTACAATCATATTCAAATAAACATGTGCCTGTGATATTTGCTTGTTGCATAAAATAAAATAATTTCAAATAACAGCTTTTGGCAACAAACATCTATTAAATATTTTATCCCACATTCGTCTTTCAAAACAATCAATACATTGCATGATCATCACCATATGTTGATTAATATTCCGTAATCTGATCATGAATGCATTTGTCCGGGACTATCATGCCAAACAATATCATCGATCCAGCAATAACTAGAGGCGTGACAGTCTAATGCTTGGTAATGCAAATTGTTGCATTCCTATGCTTTTTTGTGCATTCGGCACTAGCATTTAGTGGGGAATGGTGCGGTGAATTATTTAGTATAAATTGTATAAACTTCCTCCTTTGGGATAAACTAAACATTAACATTGAGGTATGTGGTAACTTCTGTGCTTTAGCAAATTCTATCATATTGGAAAACTACAGATTGCAATCGCAATAAATGACTCTTAATATTGATATACATTTGAAACCACATGTGAATATGCAGGTAAAAATAAAAGAAACTCGATATATCTCTATCTATCAGCCCATATATAATGACTTTAATTAATTCCTACAAATGGTACAGTCCACTCCCCTCTGACAGGGGATATCACTACATACCATCACAATACAGGTACATGTTGTACAGGAATATCCAAGCAGGGGCAGGTAAACAAAGACCAGATGATCATTGACCTGACTTGACGCATGAGATTAATCCCCTATCGTTTAGAGTAGTGAAATCAGTGGTGTTTGGGCAACACCCTTAAGTCTAGAGTTAATGACAATGTTAGGGAAGCCATTGCAAACAAAGGTTTAACTTTTCAATGAGAAATTCACATATGAAACGGAGGAAAATGTTCAGATCGATTTTTTGACACAGGAGAAAGGGTGTTGCCCAGGCAACTAGGGCAACACCCTTGCATCCGCCACTGCACTTAATAAACGGTATCATATAGTCATACAGGGATTTTAAATGGAAAGTTTCAAATTGAATGTACTTGTTATTGGCTGGAAAACCTTTGAATAACAGAGAATGTTACTCTTACCATGAAAACTCTTTTTGGTAGCTTCGTCTATTATAAAGATAGAAGAATATTCCAAGTCAAAATAACTGATGCAGAGGAACCCTTAACCGCATCACAGCTTTTGTACGTTTTCACATAACGCGGAATCTATTAGGTAATTAATCACTTGTCTCCGGTTTTCTATGCCTCGATGTCAGACAGTAAACAGCAAAACGCGTGTCGTAAATGATATAGCTTGTTTAATATAATAGCGCGTGCTTAGGATGATAACACATCTTTGACAGATACACCTCTCATACCGTCGTTTTGAAATTGTTTAAAACTATTTATTTGATTAAAAATGAAAATGAAAAGTGGAAAAAATGTTTTAGAAGACGAGTAGCTGAAACAAAACATATCCCATTATAAGCAGACATTGCTACAAAAACTCCGTGTTCAGAATATAATGCTAACGTTGTTTACAGTATCATCACTTGGAGGGCGAATGTATTACATACAAACGGTTTCGAAATTAAGTTTTTAATCCCCATAAATACAACAGCACCATTGACATCAGACACAGACAGTAGATTGCTAATAGATGTACATAATGAACCATAAGTGTATGGTTGTTGTCTATCATCAAACATGGGCAAATAAACACGAAAAATTAAAACGCCAACTTTTTTTCCCCATTGAATTTGAATTTTCAAAATGAACGGTGTGTAGAATAGTTTATCGATCAAGATATTAACATATTATAATGAGGCCAAAGTAGAAGATCAATAACGCATATCTATACATACATCCGTTATCTAGCCTTGGCGGTAGGTTGGACACAAGGGCAGTCCTGGAAACCTCACAGTTATCTCCCTTGTTAAGCGCGCAGGTGTACTCCCCTGTTGTTGTCTCAGTCACAGCTAGTATCGTCAGCAGTGTACCGTTCTCCGAGACCTACAATACAACATCATAATCTACCGTTCTCTGAGACCTACAATACAACATCATAATCTACCGTTTTATGACACCTACAATACATGTTTAACATCATAATCCACAGTTTTCTGATTACAACAAAACAAAATCACAGACACCTGAACAAGCAACAGGAAAATAATACGCTAGATTGGAAAACACTAAATTGCTTGCTAAGTGACGGACAAAAACAGGTGTTAATATATCTAGCAAAAGGACTCAATAACACAAACCCATCGCATACACAAATATCCCAGCAATTGGTTTACAACAGAGAAGGGGTTTCAGTAATATTGAATACATTGCTGATAGCTTAATATTACTTTTTCATGTTTATTCTTCTTAATCTATATTTTATATGAATTAACATGTTTAATGATTCTTCTTTCCCATTAAGTTAGTCAAACAAGTGTTTATTTTTATGGTAATATATATATGTTGATTAAAACGTTTTACCGATCTTATTTGTCCATGAAGTAAGTTAAAAAAGATACAAAATTTCTGTACTTTTTGGTATAAGGTAAGTAAGTTAAATTAGATACATGATATCTGTGGTCTATGCTAAGGACGTGATGAGTGTAGTTTTACCTCGTATTCTTCGCCTTCCGAGAGCTTCTCATCATCCTTCAGCCATGTCATATTGTGTTGTCCGGATGTCACGGTACATCGCAACGTGGCGCTATCACCACTAATAGCTGACACCTCTGGTGGTGAGAGTTCTATTTCTAAGATAAAAGTTTGTAAATATTACATTCATTAGTTACTTATACATATGAGAAGAAGTTTCATATAATTACCTGAATATTACGTTTTGTCTTGTTTCGTTCGTTCTCACGTAGGTACTCTGAGGTCGGAAATTTTCGTTTCACAACTTTATTAGAACCATTATACAAAAAGTTTTTAATATTTACTTATCCCAAGCATGCGGTATTGTGTTATGTATAACAGGCATTCAAACATAGGGATATATTAGCCAGGTGGCATAGGACTAGTAGTTATCGCCTGATAAGGCAGCTCCTGAGAATTCCTCAAAAATTGTATTGAGTAATGTGTATGCTAATTGTATGTATATGAACTGTAAAGCGCTTTAGAGTGGCGTATAATAGCTAGATAGGGCGCTGTATCAAATGTTGTATATTAATATTATGTTATGTTCGTTCTGCAAAAACAACAGTACCGAAATTGCAGCCTTCCGTCAAAGTCAAGTTGAACGTTGTTTGTGAGAATGTGTCGTAAGAGTCTGTTAGGCACTTGTACATGCCAACATATGTGTCGTCGAAGGCGAGGATCTCCAGACTTCCGTTTACATGCTCGATAACACCTATATCTCCCATGATGAGACGATCGTTTAGCGCCCTAATAATGAAGATACAACTGTCACACAACAAAGATAATAAAGTGGATACAACTTGTAAATTACTCGTTTTGCAGTTCATATACACACACTCTCATCATGAACGTAAACACGTTTTAAGGACGGTATGCCCAACTAAATCATGGGCAGATTGGTCGAGTGGTTAATAATATTTCCACAATATGGAAATGCACTCAGGTAATGTAAGTCAATGTTACATGCATAAACGTATAACTATTTTAAACTCATTCCACTAGTGCTGCTCATATTATTGCTTTCAAAAGTAAATATCGAAAAGAAATTCGAATACTTTCACTACAACACAAGATGTGCTACCTGACATAAAAAATGTAGTAATGCCCAACTCATGTACAAAGGGAATACATTGCTTTGATTGATTAAATCTGCTCAACGCTAGGAGTCAAAACGCCGAAATGTCCTTTTTTATATACAAAGGTTGCTTGTAGATGCCGAAAGCCAAACAAAATAAACATTTTACTGAGTCATTTCGTCCATTTGGGACTCATCAGTAAAACTAAAAGATAACAGAATGAAAAATCATTGTCTAAAGGAATAAGAAATATATGTAGAATACAGCAAAAATAGAAAAGTGCATAGAACTCTTTGTAACGTTACAAATATAAAAATTCAGGCTACAAAAACAAGATACTTCAGCAGGTATTTCATGTCGACACTGCCAGATCAAACAGACCATGTAAAGAAGGTATCGGAGACGTTTGTTGTACAGTCGAGGATGAGACGCTCTCCACGATCAGCTGATATATCTGTGTGGGTATCCCGTACTCCTGGCTGTGTATCCTACAGAGAATGAGGACGGATTACTATTAGTTTCCTCCTGCGTACATACATGTATTTATTGAAATAACCGACAACTTGTATGGACAATTATGTATTTAATTTTTTATTCATACTAGAATAAGAAATACATAATTCAAGTGTATATTTCACAAAAGAAGAATATCCAAAATTCAGCTGAAATCTCAATCTTAGTCTGTTTGTCTATATTTTGACCTATATCCAAATTACGCGAAGCTCGTTCTTATTTCAATTGTTCTAATATTTGTGATAAATAATATAAAATTCGGGTTTGAAAATGGCACAAAGGGAGACAACTATGAAAATATTTCTACGCCAAGTAATGCTGAGTTTGGACAATTTGAAACAAACGAGATGAAAAAGTGCTTGGTATTTAAGACAAACAAATAAAAAATAGGACTTTTCAGTGAACATTAAACAAACGAGAGACTAACCACGCTATTCTCCGGCTGAATGTTGACGTCACACAGCATGCCTGTGTAGTTGGACGTGCAGTAACACGTGAGGTTCCCGTCCCTTTGTACACACTCACCGTTGTCACATATATTGTACTCGCATAGCTTACCAGCAATACACCTTTCAAAAATACCAACAAAAAGAATCATGACGTATCAGTGTTACTTTTAGGGAACTTGTTGGGGCTGAAGTAAATGTTTTGACAGTGTCGTGGCAATCAAATTAACACAAAACTGTATGATTAGTGTAAAAAGATCCACTAGCAACAATATCTAATTTAAAGTGATGTTTGTCAATGATTTAAAAAGAAAATACACCAAGACCTTTTTTTCAAAAATATTTTGACAAATAAAAACTACAATTTTATTTCATTATTAACATATCATATTTTTACAAAGACGCGTTTCATGAACACCAGAGAAAATCTTTTTTTTTTGAATAAAGTTTCTTTATATCTAAACAGTATTATTTCTAAAACGGTTTCGTTGACAAAGTTCATTTCCTGAATATTCATATTCATACAATATGTGCAATACATTGCCATCAATACCTAAACGTTTCCCTTTCTTCCACACAAACGGAGTTGTCGCTGCAACCTGGTACACAGTTGGGAACTGGAATAAAGGAAAAACTACAAATCATCGGAAATATACAAACGAACAACAATTTGTGGACAATGTAGTTATGTCTTAGTGTGGGAAGCAACTAAAACCAGAACACCCGGCAAAACCCAAGTGGTCGGGCAGTTGACCCAATACCTTAATATCACGTCCGATCGGGGAACCGAACCCAGGCCTTAGTGAAAGGCGAGTGTGCTACTCAACACTGATGAAAGCACAGCGATAAAAGTCAAACAGAAATAGAAGTCAACAAGAAAGCAAGAAATGAAAGAGTTCTTCTGGATCAGAAAGGTGGGTTTATGGATGACGGGAAATAGTGAAAGTTTTAACCTGAACAACTACTCGCTACACTGTGGTCTCTAGATCACTACATATATATAACTACTCACTGCATTCGTCCTCGTGTTTGATAAATATATCAAGTGTTTTCAAAATGTCGCATAGTGTTAGCCACTGTTCTATATCATGTAAGATTTTAAGCTCGTGGGAAGTTATATATGAAGCAAGCTTGCGTCTTACATTTTTCTTGTGATGAAGTTGCCATTCATATTGCCATATACCTGGAATATGTTCACTGGCCAATAAACTTCGATATAATGAAATGGCTTTCATGTTTTTGGACCACATGAAAGAACACAACGGAATATGCATGTACCTTCATTTGGTAGCGCAGTGTAATCACCAAGGAAACCCCTTCCGGTTACGAGGTAGTCTGACGTCAGAACTATTTTTAGTGTGTCCGATGTAGTAACGTATACAAGATTCTGTGTTGTCTGTCCGCAAATCTTTCCAAGAGAGTTGGCTTCTGCAATTAACGAAAGTGACAAAAGCATTAGCGAATACATGTACAGCCGTGTTTATGGGTTTTACTTAGCAACAGCTGAGGGCATATGATGAGGGTGAAGGGGTACTCATTGGCCATTTTGAGTCGCCATGATTAGGCTCGTTAAACGATCTTGAAGTCAGATACAGCAGACAATTGTTTTCCTCTAACCTGCCGGGGATTTTCATCCGACAATTTCCTCGAAGACAAAAACAAAACATCCCTAAAAGCATTTGTAAGAGAGCATTTAAAGTATTTCTCTTTGTCAACTTTACTCGCCTTCAGTCGTCCCGTCGAAGAATTCCAGAGAGTCGAATGTACAGTTAGTGGAGCCCTCCATGTCCAAATAAACCAGGGTAAGCCGTATATGGTGGTCAGGCTGGGGTGACCTGACGATCGCTTCACATCGGGCCTGATCAGGGTATACACCAGGGAAACCTGGGCTTGTTACCACACCCTCCATAGCCTCGGCAAATACCTGGCGGCACGCTGTGGGGATATGCAAAATGAAAGAAAAACGATATTGACAGAACAAAGCTGATCAATTGCTGTCATAAAGTCCAGCGCAAGATTATTTTAAGCAGATTTTCAAACGTTACATTGACATGTTGAAGCAATGTCATAGTAAATTTCACGTGAAAGTTTTTTTATAGTCAAAGTTAATATCACGTGACAGATATTTGTAGTCATAGTATATCTTCATATGTGTTGTCGTCCATATATTCCCGTTGTTGTATTATTCCGCAATATAAACTGGTGCTACATACACCGTCATACGAAAAAGTTTTGTCTAAATACATACATTTAAGTCACCGATGAATTTTACAACGTATCATCGTTAACCAGAAAAAACCCACCGCATTTGGCAGAAAACAAGAGTATAAGAATATCTGTAAGTTTTAAGATGTTTCTAAAGCACAGTTAAATCTCACCTTCTTGGTCTTCAGTTTCTGTTTCGCTGTCATTCTCGATGAAGTTGATATTTATTTGAAATCCTCTGTCCTCTAGATACCCATCCGACAAAAACGTGATAAAGGCCTGATTGCCACTGGAAGTCACAGACGGGGAGGGCGCCGAGTCTCCACAGAGATCCAGTAACAACGGTGAATCTGTGGGAAATATACCCGAGAACATGGCAATGAATTCACGAAAGGTTCAGTTACAGAAACTTCTACAGATAACATTACATACAAAACATTTGTATCATGATAACATATGATGCATTGGTTACCTGTACGATACAGGTCGCAGTACAATATTTTGGTGCACACATACAAGGCACTGAATGGAACAGCTACCCAATACATACATGAGCTCGTTACACTGTATCAGCCGTCACGATCACTGCAGTCAGAGTCAGAATCATTGTTCTTTGTCCCAAATTCTCGTTTTGTGACCTATGGAAACCGGTGCTAGGGAGGCTTTCGGCCACGTTGTGGAAAACCTTACCATCTGCTATTAGAACCCTGCTATTATTTACCCTGACCAAATTCAAGGACATAAAAAATCACCTCTTCACGTCTACATTTTAGGCACTTTGTATATGTGCACATTAAATGATTATCTTCTTGCTTAATTATTGTTAGCCTGTTTTGTTTAATAAATATAACGAATGCTATTATCCATACATTGTAAAGCGCTTTAGAGTAATTTTACAAATTCTATAGGGCGCTATAGAAATGTTGTACATTATTACTATCATTATTATGAAGCAAACATCTGAGAACGTAATGAAAATGGGGATACATGTAGTATACACATTGCTATCAACTTTGGGGTATATTTTCATTGAAAAAATAATAATAAAAAAAATGATAAAACTACTTAAACATATCTCTTATTTACACATACTTGGCTCAAAAATGATCCCTGTTGTGTTGACAATGATTTCAATAGGCTACCATATATGGAGTAGAATTTGCTTCGAAAGAATCTCTTTTCTCGGCTTGAAAATAAAACAGTTAGACTTTAAAATATGCTATGTTTTGAAACGATAGTTTTCATCATTTGTACTTTGTTTTATCCTGATTTGTCATACATGACCTCTCCTGTTGAGGCTGAATGTGACACATATTTCATTGACCTGTGATGACAAATCATTGTTTCTTTCCACGTGCTTTCTATAATACTCCCAAGAATGATAGAAAAAATCCTGAACATATGAAACGAGACAACTCTATGAATGGTTAAAGGAAAGGAATGTTTCTTACGGGAATCTCTGCCGTCATAGATTTTGACGTAATCAAACAGACAACCGGAATCTTCTAAACTGACGTCACGGATCTCCAGCTGAACGAGCGTTTGCTCGCTAGGAGCCTGTAAAAAAAAATGGTATACCAACGTATATCTGTTTAAAAAAAACCCAGAGAATTTCGAAGATTTAACAACCCCGTTATTCGAACTCAAAATCGACAAACCTAGGGCAAATAATGAACAAAGGAAAGATTTACATGCAGATCCTTGAAAAGGGAGAATAAGCCCAGGTGTTCCGGAAGGTTAAGCACATTTGCTTCATCGACGATACCCGCAGTGAAAATATCAGTCAAATCCAAAGTTATGGCACGTCCTCAAAGCGAGAAGGGGTATGAATAACGAATATATAAGGCAAAATAAAGAGCATAATAAAAAAATACACTCTCATATCACACAAAGAAATATAATATTTCCCAATAAGTTAATGATTATTTGGTTGAATTATTTAATTTTTCGAGAAAGCTATGCCAATTCGAGAAAGGTGACAGGAGAATTGGAAAGTGGCAACCAATGATCAATTCTACCAGTGGTAATAATATTTCAACATCACAAACCATCTTAATTAAAATTTACATGTCAACTTTAAAATCAAAAAGAAACTTAAAGTATCAATAACGAATGTAGTTCAGTAAAAAATGTTTACCTTGATCCAGTACACACATGATGAGTAAGCCCCGTACTCTCCAGGGTAGTTCGGACTCGAGATGAGACCTTCAGTCTCTATCAGTTGGTTACAGAATGATGGATCTGACGTTTCTATCGTAAACCAATGATAAAGTGCTGTAGGAATATCACTTTCATTTAACCCAGAAACCTATTTCTAATATGTTATATTTCTCTAACATCTTATCATGTTTTTAATGTAAAATCGTGTCTACTCTGAAAGCAAATGATTGACCCTGTGGTATTCCATTATGCCATTATAAAACAAATCAAAACGATATGATAGATATTGTTAAAAATATAACAAGTTGGAGAAACATTGTAAGTATAACCTCAAAGGCAATGCATGATGTCATACATGATTCGTTCATATTCAGTCTTATTTCTTACACTGTCAAGTAAAAGTGTAAAAAATTATATTAAACATATTATATGTGGGTTATGAAAAACTTTTACAACCAGAATAATTTAGTCTTAATTTGGCACATTTTGTTCTCAGATTACAGAACACAAACGAGTCAACGTGACGTAAAAAAAGGATTCTGTGTTAGCATGCAGTTATCATTTCTTTGAACGGGCATATTGCCAAAACATAAAGTAAGTATTGGCCATCCCAATGTTGAATCTATATAGACATGAGTCAACTTTTAAATAATCTGAGTTGTACAAATTAAGAACCATTTCCATCTCAGAACATTCTTTGAAGGGGCCGCGGTGGCCGCGTGATGAGGCGTCGGATCGTCTGCGATTACTAGCCCTCCACTAGTACTTCTGGATCACGGGTTTGATACCAACGTGTACGTGGGGGCAGTCGCAAGGCACTGTTCGCAGGTCGGCGGTTTTTCTCCTGGTACTCCGGTTTTCCTACTAAACCTAGCACGACCTTAAGTGTTAATAGGTCGTAAAGCATAAACAAATAAGCAAACACTCCTTGAACATGAATGTTATTCATTAGAAAAAGACTCCTTGTAACACATCATAGTAAACTCGTGTTTATACCTGCAGGGACTGATCTGAAATCGAGCTGGAAGCCTCGGTCCTGGGACGAGCCGTCTGACGAGAAGTAGAGAAACACAGTGTCGTCGGAGGAGAGGAGAGTCAGGGGAGCGTAGCCACAGTATTTACCCACCCTATGGGCGTGGTCGTCGCCGCCGTCTCTCACCTCCAGATAATCCCAGCTGTATGAAAGAAAGTTCATTTATATTTTTCCCATATTTTCGTTGCCAATTTCTTTCAAAGGAAAATGTTTCCAACAAACATATAATTTGTAGTTTATGAGAAATGATAAAGGGACGATCAAAAGACTAAACCACGAAAAAATCCTTTAGGTATGCCTTTTTATAAACTACTGAAATGCTCCGTTCAGGTCATGGGCATGACCAGTGGGCAAATGTCACCGCTTTGTTTTTTATTGATGTTGTTTGGTGGGGGTTTTGGGGGGTGGGGGTGTCTCTTGTATTATGGGCTGAAATTACGACAAAAAATAAATTTTATGACAGGTATTACTATCTTTAGTGTCTCACAAACTTATTAGAATTGTTAAAATTCCTGAATTATAAGGTTTGTGTTCATATTTTTGTACCTACTTTCTCTACAATGGAAATAGAAAGTCGGGGGTGATTTCATGTTTGATCGCAAAATCATCCAAGCATTTCTTTCATTCTTCTGTCGTATGTTTGATTTCGTCAATGGGTGTTTAGCAATTGATTAAATTTAATATAAAGTATCGTTTGTTTTATCACAGAAATATGAATCTCATTGGTACCCCCCAGTTGGTACCCAAATCAGGAGCGGCTATAATTGAAGATAATGTTCTAGACGTTTTAATCATATTCCAAGAGTTACGCTTCACAAAATTTTGTTTTAACTTTTTGCCCCCCCCCCCCCCCCAATGTTTTACCAACCTAGCTATTTACCGTACAATATGGACGCAATGTCTGTATCAAGAAGTGTTTGAATTTCAGGATAGGAGAAAGATGACTGCAATAATGTTCAATAAGTATTCAAGGTACAGACAAAAGGTTGATTCTGAGATATCGGCATTAATTCTGATTTTACATATATTGAAATATAAATTGGTCGAAGAAGGGTATTTTGATCAATCTGATGAGAAGCAATAATGTGTTGCCTTTGAAATAAATAATTTCAAAACCAAACCACTGTAACAGAAGTAATCCAAATGCTAATTGGTAGCAGGAAATGGTATATAAATGACAAGATCACACGTTAATTAGGCTAATGATTCTGCCAGAAATACCAACATAACTTACGTGCATTCTGAAGAATATTCCAAAGCGAAACTTGGAGCAGACAGAAGTAGTCTTTGTCCTTCCTCGGCTCTGATCTCCCACCGACAGAATAGGTTCGGTAGATAGTACTCATCGGCCACGGGAGGGCTTATAGTACCCTGGGACTTGGTCATTATCTCTCCACATAACGTCACTGTCCAATAATTAAAGAAGTGTTATTGTTTCTAAATAAAAAAAAGTTTCAGTCTGTACGACATAATTTTTAAATGGAACATATTGTTGCTTTTCAGTATTAAACATTTTAAATTCTTCAAAATGTTATAGGAAATGCGTGTTTTAAGTAAAACCTAGTTATAGTATTCTGTCTTCTATGAATATTGCAGTATTAACACTTAATATATATATATGGGTCAAAGAAGTAATATAGACGGTATATATATAATATATATATATATATATATATATAAAAGAAAACATTGAGAAGTCCTTGTGTTGGAATTAAATATAAAAAAAAAATTGTTTTATTTTTTATATATATATTGTTTGTTTGTTTGTTTGATTTTGTTTAACGTCCTATTAACAGCTAAGGTCATTTAAGGATATATATATATATATGTAGTCATTCACAGCACGAGTGATATATAATACGGATATAAAATTATAAAGAAAAGAGAGCTAGCTTAATGTTAATGTAAATTCTGATCAAAGCCTTTTGTTTTTAGAATCGATTTGTTAACTATTTAGGGAATTGCTAGAGCGTAGAAGAGTGAAATATCAATTGGATTACATTAATTTCTTATAAAGTATATACATATATGGATTCGAATAATTGTAAGAATTATCTTTGTTTTCATTTAAAACTGAATTTATCTGTACTTTGTTGTGATCTAATGTAGTGGTGTGCTGTAAGATTTCTTCATCTAAAGCAATTTCACTTTAACTACCTGTATGTCGAGGTCAATAAAGTTTCGTCTTTGACTTATTATATATATGCTTAGCACTGTTTTCGTGTCTTTATAGCCAATGACTATATATTATAGTAATGATGAATAAAAATTCAAACACACAAGACCGACCGCTTTGCTTCTTTGGCTTCCCCCGCTTGGAGAAGCCCAAGCAGGCAGGCCGACCCATAGCGGTCAGTCTTGTGAGTTTGCTATTTTATTCTATGTGTGCCTTTGCAAGGATGTGTTTCTTTATCAGCTATACACATAGCGTTTACCTGCGGTTCCCGTTAGTGTAAGGGACAAGGATAAGAGAAAGAAAGAAAAAAAAAGGACGAAAAAGAAACCATGGATTTATAACTCTGTATTATATATAAACAGTATTACCAACCACAATGTCTTTGCGACTGTTTTTACACACAAGTACACGAACATACATCGTAATTAAGAAAACACATGCAGATTCTATCATATAAAATTAGGCCTATATATAAAATATTAGGTTTTTTCTCACCATGTCTCTTTTGCCGATCACTGGTTAAAGTCGAGTAACCTCCATCAAATAATAATAAAACGAGACCAAGTAAAACTAAGCCCCATGTGTCAGCCATCTTAGGGTCAGACTCAAGAGGAAATCATTAAATAGTGTGAGTTGTACGGTAGGGCACGAAGGCGGAAGTGGATACTTAGAAACTGGGGACGAGATTTTGCCAAGTTTTGTCAGCTTTAAAAGCATAAGTTCAGCTTAAATTGTTCAATTTTTCTTTAGTGTGTGCATGCATTCGATTCATTTTACGTTTCGTGTCTAATTTTTGCTCTTTCAACATGTTTGACATTTTCATTAACACATTAAAATGGGTTTTATCCACAAATATTCATTTTGACAATACATTTACCAAGTGTGTAAATCTTAGTTTTTCTTGGTTCAAATCGGGATTGCTGGTCATGTGAAACGGGAACTGGCAGGACAAAGACTTGTCTGTTAGAACAGAGGACGTGGGATAACAAAGACAACATTTAGTAATATGTTTTCCCATATACAATATCCTTTTCATTTCTAAAAATCGATTTTTGCATTTGAAAAAAAAGTAAATACGCACTTGCCGCGCCATGATTATTGCATTTTTTTAAAACTTTTTTGAAATAGAAAATTCCAGAAATATTTATATGGTCGTAAAAGTAAGAGAAGATAAGTCCATATAGATACACAAACTAGAATCTGATATATTTTCAACTTTATTGACCTTATCGCCAGTTAAGTATGTCCATCACTTTCAGAAAACTGACCAACCGGCATGTGTTGATATCTTTCATTCTCGTAACTGTAGGAACCGTAGTCTATTGAATTTTTAGATACTTTATTTTGAAATTGTACATTATCGGTGGTTGGCTCAAGGTCAGATCGATTTTATTTTGAATTTGTAGATATTTTATTTTGACTTTGAACGTTTTCGGTCCAATTTTATTTCGTTTTAACTTTTAGAAATTTGATTTTGTGATTTTACATTAGCGGACCGATAAATAACTTCATGAATCAATTGCACCTTAAGCTAACCAATGATGATGTAAAATTTTGAAAATAAAGTATATAAAAAATCAAAATGAAATAAACGCATTTTCAGCTAACCACTGTAAATGTAAAATTTTGAAATAAAATGTGTAAAAAATCAAAATGAAATAAAATTGATATTACCTTCAGCTAACGAACGATAATGTAAAATTTTAAGAAATCAAAATGAAATAGAATCGATCGCATTTTCAGATAACCACCGATTATGTAAAATTTCAAAATAAAATGAGAAAAAAAAATCGATTGCATTTTCAGCTAACCACTGTTAATGTAAAATTTCAAAATAAAAAAAAATGCAAAAAAATAAAATGATATAAAATCGATCGCATTTTCAGCTAACCACTGATAATGTAAAATTTCAAAATTAAATGTGTAAAAAATCAAAATGAAATAAAATCGATCTCATCTTTAGCTAACAACTGATAATCTAAAATTTCAAAATAAAATATGTAAAAAGTCAAAATGAAATAAAATTGATATTACCTTCAGCTAACGAACGATAATGTAAAATTTTGAATATAAAAGGTGTAAAAAATTAAAATGAAATAAAATCGATCGCATTTTCAGCTAGACACCGATAATGTAAAATTTCAAAATAAAATGAATGAAAAATTAAAATGAAATAAAATCGACCGCACCTTCAGCCCTCAGCTAACGAACGATAATGTAAAATTTTGGAAATAAAATTTGTAAAAAATCAAAATGATCGCACCTTCAGCTTACCACTGATAATGTAAAATTTCAACAACAAAAAATGTGTAAAAAAAATCCAAATAAAATCCAACCGATCGGAACTTGAGCTATGGTTCACGTAGCTTACAACTCCATGTCAGTGCAGTTCTCTCACAAATGCGGGATTTTAAAATTAAATTTTATGGGTTTTTTTTATTAATAATATTCTTTCTTTTTGTATTTTTTTCCACGCTTGTGACTGTTTGAAAACGTTTCGGTTTTCGTCATTTATGACTAAAGCTATAAGTCTTTAATGTAACATATCCGTACATTTTAAAAATATGCATTATAATTACTAGAACTGTTTCAATTGCATTTTTTAGTGAATACATGAAGTATATATAACCAATGACTTAGCAAGGACTAGTATCTAATATAATTCCGTGATGTAATGCTATAAATTTGACAACGTATACGCTCATGTCTTTGTGCTATGCAGATTCTCGAGAGATAATTTCCAATAGAGGTTGATTTAGACTAGGTATAAAACAGCAATCAAAGGATATTTTGTTACCGTGATATGGTAAATGTAATACAAATGAATATACGACGCAGTTTATATTTGTGTCATAAAGAAACACCTGTCTATTATTTTAAAGCTGCATCTCACGCGCATTTCCAGTAAGTTATATGCATTGGTAAAGAATATCCCATCCTCCCATTCAGAATCAATCCCTATTAAAAGTCGGCAGGTTTCGTCCCTGACGTCAAATTATGAATATCGGGTAGGATATTTCTAGACTACACATACCAGGAACTATTCCGTTTCGCGTGCACGTAATGCAAAGATAGCAATTTTCCCGCGTGTTTAGCCGCTAGGTGTCGCACCAGCAAGGCAGTACACACAGATAGGGCTGGATTGGGCTGTCTTTGTTCTTGCCAAGACGATTTAAAGAGGTAAATTATTGCATTGATTTACGCGCTATGCATTTTGTTTTATTTGTAGAATTTTCTGTATAATTTGAAGAAATATTTTAGATTTATTGATCGCGTTTGATTGTAACAGATATTTCGGTGTTTTGATCGAAACACGGATGCAGCAGTGTGCGGCGTGGGTGTGATGTCGGCACTTACTGACACATGTACCGACTTTACAGTGTTAATATATATTTGCTTGAATTTCAATTGTTTGTGGTGCAGAATTTACCTGTTATTTAATGTTTACACTTTTTGCCGATGATGCATTAACTTTGTGTAGTAAATATTGCAATATTTACACGTACACGGTTCCAATTAGATTTGTGAATTAGAATGATCTCCCTTTAATCATGTAAATACGATGTATTTTACACTGGGCTATATATGATGCTCCTTGAATGTGTCGACACTATTATATATATGAAAGTTTATATATAATAAGGTTATCAACTTGTAGTGCATGGTCTAAAGTCAATACAAGTTTTTATTAACTGGATGTTTATAAATAAATTAGCTTAAGTTTCATTGGTTTCTTTTAAATGGAAAAAGTTAACAAAGGGTGTACTAATAGATAGTTTACCAATAATACAGAGATAAAATATAATAACCAATAGTTTAAGTAATGATACAACAAAGAATGTTCAGCTAAAATTAGAATTGTAGGGGTCAGTGATTTCCAATGGTCGATCAACGGCGACTTATAGTAGCTCAGTTGGTAGTGCGTCCGTCTCGAGTTCGGAGGGTCCCAGGTTCAAACCCTGGTCTGGCCCTTACATTTTCTATTCTCCTGTTACAAATTTGGCGAGCTTGCCAACCCTTGTTTCAAGCATTGGGAGTACGCTTAGCAAGGGTATGTGTCTTAGGGGGCAAAGACTTTGAAAAAGGAGGGAGGAGTGTAGCTGAACTGGATTAGGTCAATCGTTGGTGACCAGGTAGCTCAGTTGGTAGAGCATCTGTCTAGAGTGGGGAGTGTCCCGGTTTCGAACTCTGGTCTAACTCAGGCCGTTATATTGACTTCAGAGCGTTCTATAAATATCTCAAGTGAGCCCCGGGTGCTAATTTCCCTTGTAAGAAAACCCATCAATATTCTTCCTTTGATACAACCATAAATGAATATAATTTCTCCTCAGATTTTTCAATGATTTAATGAACTGATGGTTTGGTGATCCGATTTGGGTACTGTCACCTTGCATCTGGAATCTTGGTTAGGTACAATGGCCAGATATATTCTGAGAGATTTATGTGGTGACACAATTGATTAGTGTATTTTGATTATGAATCGTTTCAACATCATTTGATATTCAATTTATGAATTTTATCCGGAACCTTGCAGATTTGTCTTTCAGCTTTAGATTCATACCAGTTTCTTTTGAATGAAAAAAAAGTACTATTTTATGTATCTTTTCATCATTATTTGCCAATTAATTAGATGACGCTCTATGATCAACTGAGCGACCCAGTCCAGTCCCACATAATTCCTCCCTCCTCCTTCTAAGTCTTTGTCCCTGAGGAAACAAGTATCTACAACCCATACATGTAGAGGTATGATGACGCAATATATAGAAATGGTCTCCAGGGATTTTCCTACAACAGAATATGGGGCCGAATAACGGCCCCTTTCCCCTCGGAACATCTTGCTAAAATTCCCAATTTGCCATTGAAAAACTCCCAATCGGATGGCCATTTTTGAAAGATTTAAATATGCTCAGTGTGGAGAGGGAAGATGTAAAAACATTCATGTCCGTAAGAAAAGTAAAAATATATTTTAATCCCTTGAAAATTAAATTTCAAAAGTATACATCAGAATGTTATCAAGTTATTTCCATTGCATTGATGTAGTAAAACTTTGCTATTTTTGTCTCGCGTATGTGATTTAAGTTGGAATAAAACAAATTTACAACATGTATTACTCGAGAAAGTGATATCGATACTAACCATCAAAGAAGCAATCTTTGTAACTAATTCAGTTTTCCTTTTAAAGGAAATGGACAAATATTACAACTACCGTATATATTTGATATACATGCATATGTAGTATAATAAAATGGTAAAAATACATTCTGGCTATCAGAATTTGTTACAAGCCTATACTAGAGTTTAACTGTACCCTAGACCTAAGCTTATGCATTGAAAAATAAATAAGAAATTCCAATATATAAGAATGCAATTTCTCATGATAAGAAGTAAAATTTATCAACAGAAACTGGAAAATGTATGAAATTTTATTTCCCCTCATTTTTCTCCAATTTCAAATTTTATTGTGTAAAAATTCCCAATTCAATGGACCTGGACACGGAAAAATTAAAGTCGTAAAATCCCTGGTCTCTTCGCCAGAAGCTACGTTATTGCAACTAGGTAATCCCCATGCCAAGCTTTCACCTTGTACTTGATACAAGGGTTGGCAAGTTAACCAGTTTTGAATTATAATAGGAGAAAGAGAAATACATGCATCATTGGCCAGACTGGGATTCGAACCCAGGACCCTCTGAACTCTAGACAGATGTGCTACCAATATTGAGCTACGTGGTCACTTATATGATTGACCCCATCTGGTTTTGCCACAGAAAATTATGTTCTAAAAACCTTGGGTAACTGTCACCAGAATTGAATAATGTTAAAAAAAGTACAACAGCCGAATTGCCCAAATGATCAGTTTAAACTTTTATATTATGTCTTTGTGTTTAATGATCGATGAATATCGGTCACTAATGTGATATTGATGGTGCCAAACTTGAGTTGTCATATTTTTAACACAAGCTTAATTGGACTAAGTTGGCATTGTGTAGTTGGTAAACAAATGTACCAATGGTTCAACTTGGTTTATCTCTGATAATTAGATCTAGAGTTAAGTGAAAATTAACTTTAGACTGAATGAAATATCTAAATTAATTTTAATACAATTTTACTTTGACATTAGCAGGTCTCTGCATCAGACAACATGGCACCCAAAAGGAAGTTAGATGAGGAAGAAGAGGACGCCTCAGCCGTAAGTGGAAGGAGAAAAATTGGGACTGTTTAAAATGATAGGTTTAAAAAATTATTGTCATCTAATTAGAAATTTATAAAAATAGGAATGATTTTTTTTCGTGGGATAAGGTTATTTACTTAGTCTAGAATAAAAATTATTTACGTCGGAAATCAGTGAAGTGTCAGTGGACTTCCTCGACACCACTGTATTTTTTAACGAGGATGGGACACTAGGTAGCCGTATATCCACAATAAACCCACTAATGCTTTCCAATATCTGCACTTTCGAAGTAGCCACCCTAAACATCAGAAAGAAAACATCCTGTACTCCCAGGCACTACGTATCAGAAAAATATGTAGCGCAGACACGGACTTCGAACTAGAATGCCACCTACTCCGCGAACGTTTCCTTAATAGGGGTTACCCACCTTTACTTATCAATAAAGCTATCGAGAAAGCAAGAAACACCACAGAATCAGTTTATTAGAAATCAAAGACCAAAAACAGGTGAACGAAGTCATTCCTTTCGTTCTCCCATTTAACCCAAACAACCCAAACGTAGGGCAGATCATAAGAAACGATGAACACATACTTAAGTACAACCCGGAAACAAAGAAAATCTTAACCTCTAGAATGTTAGTAGCCTATACCAAATCTAAATCAATCAGAAACTATCTGGTACGCAGTGACTTCACAAGTGACTATCTGCCAGCCGGCAATGTGGAAAAAACTGCAGAATCTGCAAACACATGAACGTATACGACACGTTCACTAGCCACACCACCAAACAAACACACAAAATTAAAAAACAGCATAAACTGTCAGAGCATTAATGCGGTATATGTCAACAACTGCAAGAAATGCCAACTACAATACGTAGGTCAAACGTCCAACACAATAAACACCAGAACCAGAAATCACCTCTACGACATTGCGCGCCAAGATGAGCGCAAGCCAGTCGCGGCACATTTCAATGCACCTGGACCCAATGCTGATGACGTTATGGTTACAGGCATTGTGTCAGGTATACATAATAACATCAACAACCGGCTAAGAACGGAAGAAGCGTGGATTCATATCTTGAAAACACAACGACCGTGGGGAATGAACATCATCACCTAACAGAAATAATGGCAAATACGAAAACTACAAAGGCAAAGAACTCAACTATTATATCGAAGCCAGCAGCCAACAATACTAAAGCCATAAAGAAACTAAAAGCTCTGAGACCTAAATTACGGCTCCCGTGCATTCTGTGTGGGAGCACGTTCGGTGCACTATGGAGCCTGCGCCGACATGTCAATCTCAGACACGGCAGAGGAAAGCAGACAAGTTATGTTTGCAAAATTTGCAAACGGGCATACGGCAGGAGAGAACATTATAAACGCCACCAACAGAATGAACACCCCTTATATAAAATCGAACCAGAAGTGAGGGAAGAAGCAACTAAGGACTTAGCCGCGGTGCCCAATAAATGGCACAAACCGGCGGAAGCCTTAACCAAAAACAATTAGACAATGTAAAATTCAGAGTACGACCGGCCTCCGGAATAACAACTTCGGGACCGGCATCTACAATCAGACCAATCATGGAGGAAACAATGGACACTCTCAAAGAAGACCTGATGATAAGTGACACCACTTCATCGTCAGACACTTCAAGTGAGGGCGGAAGAGAAAAACAGCCAACAAACATTTCACTGTCAAGCGGCACATGGTGCCTTGATGAACTAAATTAATCAAACAAACACTCTACGAATATATAACAAAAACACTATAATATTATGCATGTTTATTTGTTTATTGTATTCATAAATATCATAAATCATCTACAGAAATACCGTAGCACGTTAATATATATAAAACTACATGTGAACAATAAGTTTGAATTTCAGAGAAAGACATTTTTAATAAACACAGCATATCTATAAAGTTAGAACATCTAAGAAGGGCTTACCCGCCCTTCACTATTGTGTATTATCTATCCATTGATGACGTCATGTAATAACTAACAATGTAAAACTGCACCCCATTTTTAGTACTTCAGGGGCTGAAATATCTTGGAAAAATGTCCTGATGAAGACTCGCACATAGAGTCGAAACTAGTTGACCGTAATAAAAACCCACGCATTTGTAACGCTTGAGCGTGTTGTGATTGAAACCTACCTGGATTTATATGCAACTTTTTATTCAATCACCCTGCATACCTTTCGGTATCCACACTCACAGCGCAGTACCCCACCTACTCAACCAACCTAATCAACATTGACGTTGGCTCTATCTCGCATGTAAATTGCATAAGGTGTCGTGATAAAAATAAGTTTTACCTAAATCTATGTGTTTTTATTATGATTCTAAAAAGAATGTAGCATTGAGTGTGTTTTTAGCTCACCTGGTCCGGAGGACCATGGTGAGCTTATGCCATACCGCAGCGTTTGTCGTCTGTCGTCCGTCCGTCAACTTTTCCTTTAAAACGCTACTTGTCCTGAATGGCCTAGCAGATTTTGACTAAATTTGGTCTGGAGCATCCTTAGGCCAAGGGGACTCAATTTTGTATAAATGGTGGGTGTGACCCCCCTCGGGGCAGAGGGGTGGGGCCCAATAGGGGAAATAGAGGTAAAACCTTTAAAATCCTTCTTCTACCGTAGGGATTAAGGGATTTTATCCTAATTTAGTCTGGGGCATCCTTGGACCAAGGGGACTCAATTTTGTATAAATGGTGGGTCTGGTCCCCCAGGGGGCTGAGGGGAGGGGCCCAATAGGGGGAATATAGAAAATTCTTTAAAATCCTTCTGCTTCTGTAGGAATGAAAGGATTTGTTCTTTTGTATAAACCGTGGGTCTGGCCCGCCAGAGGGCTGAGGGGCAGGGCTCAATTGGGGAAACATAGCAAATTATTCTTTAAAATCCTTCTTCTTCTGTAGAAATTAAAGGATTTGTTCCATATTGGGTGTGGAGCATCCTTGGGTGAAGGGGAACCAGTTTTGTTTAAACCCTAGGTGTAGCCCACTAGGGGCCTGATGGGCGGGGCCCAATAGGGGAAACATAGCAAATCATTCTTTAAAATCCTTCTTCTTCTGTAGGAATGAAAGGATTTGGTCCATATTTGGTGTGGAGCATCCTTGGGTAAAGAGGAACCAATTTTGGATAAACAGTGGGTGTGACCCCCTGGGACCTGAGGGGCCGGGCCCAATAGGGGAAATAGAAGTAAAACCTTTATAATCCTTCTACCATAGGGATCAAGGGATTTTATCCTAAGTTAGTCTTTAGCATCCTTTGGCAAAAGGGACTCAATTTCGTATAAACAGCGAGTGTGGCCCTCCTTGGGGCAGAAGGGAGGGGCCCAATAGGGGAAACATAGCAAATTCTTCAAATACCATCTTCTGTACGAATGACAGGATTTTGTCCAAATTTGGTATGAAGCATCCTTGGGTGAAGGGAAACCAATTTTGTATAAACCCCCCTGGAGGCAGAGAGGTGGGGCCCAATAGGGGAAATATAGGTAAAACCTTTAAAATCCTTCTTCTATCATAGGGATTCAGGGATTTTATCCTAATTTAGTCTGTAGCATCCTTGGGCCATGGGGACTCAATTTTTAGACCACCATCATCTGATGGTGGGCTATTCAAATCACCCTGCGTCCGGGGTCCGTCCGTTGTCCGTCCGTAAACAATTCTTGTTATTGGTATTTCTCAAGAAGTACCAGAGGGATCTTTCACAAATTTTATATGCAGGTTCCCCTTGGTCCTAGCTGTGCAGGGCCATTTTCGAGACTGATCGGATAAAACAACATGGCCGACAGGTAGCCATCTTGGATTTTGATAGTGTGGGTTTGTTACCGCTATTTCTCCGGAAGAACTAGAGGGATCTTTCTTAAATTTTATATGTAGGTTACCCTTGGTCCTTAGCTGTGCAGGGCAACTTTTGAGACTGATCGGATAAAACAACATGGCCGACAGGCGGCCATCTTGGATTTTGATATTGAAAGTTTGTTATCGCTATTTCTTAAGAAGTACCAGAGGGATCTTTCACAAATTTTATATGCAGGTTCCCCTTGGTCCTAGCTGTGCAGGGCAACTTTTGAGACTGATCGGATAAAACAACATGGCCGACAGGCGGCCATCTTGGATTTTGATAATGAAAGTTTGTTATCGCTATTTTTCGGGAAGTACGCGAGGGATCTTTCTCAAATTTTAAATGTATGTTCCCCTTGATCCTTCGTTGTGTATATTATATTTTGTATTTTATATTTAATATGTGAAAAGACAAACTCACTTTGAAAGTTGGCTTTCATACACATCAGTATTAAGTTTAGATCAAAAGTTACCTCAAGGTGCATTTACTGTTAACATGACTCGATCAAACAGATTAGAGAAAAGAAGAGAAAAGATCGAACTGACAAAGAACTAATGAAGATGGTACAAAGGTGGGCACCAAGCTCCCTCTGGGATCTCTTGTTTTATAATTGGTGGGTATGACCCCCCTAGGGGCATAGGGGTGGGGTTTGAAGTTTGTTCTTGCTATATCTCAAGTACTGGATGGATCTGTACTTAAAGCACATACAATGGAGTGCTATACCTTTACTTCATACCAGTTATTTTAAACATATTCAGGTAAGCTATACAGGCCCTCTGGGCCTGTTGTTTATAGCTGTCCATTATAAATTTCCATAAATCTCGACACGTAAGATTATTTCAGCAAGATAGCAATTTTAAAAGCTCACCTGGCCCGAAGGGCCAAGTGAGCTTATCCCATGACGCAGCGTCCGTCGTCCGTCAACTTTTTCCCATAAAACGCTACTAGTCCTGAACGGCTCAGAGGATTTTGACCAAATTTGATCTGGAGCATTATTGGCCAAAGGGTTCTCAGTTTAAAAAAAGCGGAGGGTATGGTCCCCATGGGGGCAGAGGGGCGGGGCCAAATAGGGGGAAAATAGGTAAATCTTTAAAAAATCTTCTTCTCAACCAATAGAAGGATTTTGACCGAATTTGTCCTAGAGCATCTTTGGACAAAGGAGACTCAAGTTTGTTTAAACGGAGGGTGTGGCCCCTCTGGGGGCGGAGGGACGGGGCCCAATGGGGGAAATAGAGGATTTTTTTTTCTCCTGCTATACAAGTGAAGGGATTTAAAGCAAATGCAGTCTGAAGCATGATTATAGGGACAAAAGAATCAATTTTGTATAAACTGAGGTGTGTGGGCCCCCTTCTAGGGGCAGATGGGTGGGGCACATTAGGGAAAATAGAGGAAAACATCAAAGATCCTTCTCCTTTTGTACCGATGAAGGGATTTTTACCAAATTTGGTCTGGAGCATCATTGGCCAAAGGGTTCTCAGTTTTGTATATGAGGGTATGGTCCCCCTGAGGGCAGAGGTGCGAGGCCAAATAGGGGGAAAATAGGTTAATTTTTAAAAATCTTCTTCTTCTCAATCAATAGAAGGTTTTTGTCTTGACTTTGTTTCCTTAACCCAATTTGTTCTAGAGTATCTTTGGACAAAGGAGCCTCAAGTTTGTATAAACGGAGGATGTGGCCCATCTGGGAGCATAGCATAGGGGCGGGGCCCAATAGGGGAAATAGAGGATTTTATAGAGAATCTTTTGCCAAAGGGAATTGAATATTTATTAATGGAAGATGTGCCCCCCTCCCCACAAACCAGGCAGAGGAGCAGGGCCCAATAGGGGAAATAAACCAAATGTGGTCTGAAGCATGCTTAGGGGAAAAAAACTCAATTTGTTTAATTTGTATAAAAAGGTGCATGTGAGGCCCAATAGGGAAATTAGAGGAAAATTGGGACATAACATGGAAACTCATTTTCTTGTTGTCTTTCCCACCAAATCAGATTTATATGTAATTCTTCTTGCAACTTTGTTTCTTGTACTCCTTTGATAAACCTGAATGGTACTCAGCAGGTTTTAAATTGAAAAGTAAAATACCAAGTGAGCTATTAAGGCCCCTGGGCCTCTTGTTTATTTTGGTATATAGTCATGGTTTTCTGAACTAGGATTGTGTGTCCATGTAAAGTGTGTTTTATTGATATGTCACCTCACTTGAACAGGGATCAGCCGGTGAGGAGAAACAGGAGGACGAGGCAGCATCATCAACAGAGGCCGATACTCCTGCTAAGAAAGGCAGAGGACGTCCAAAGAAGTCAGATGCAGAAAAAAAGCCAGTAAGTGTATACAGTGTATACGTATACCCTGCCCTCTTTTGATCAGTCCTGGAGAAAACACTAGGATGCTTCCTCTCAAATCCCCAGGCCATTCCATAGACATCAACAAATATATTTGTATGTATTTCTAAGCATGGTGTCATGCTTAATAGTTTATAATGTGAGGGTGATGCGACCTTAATTAATTACTCTTAATTTCATTAAATCTTAACTTTAATTTTGTAATGGTTGCAGTACACACCGACGGGAAATCCCCGTGGCCGACCCAGGACCAAGGTACCGGTAAGTGATGCTTTGCGTGGTGAATGTAGTGACTGTATAGCCTGTACTTCGCAGCACAAGTATCGTCTGGCCCACACATCCTCCCACTGGTTATGGCAAATTATCTTATATATATATATATATATATATATATATGTTTCAAATGTTTTACAATTATATCACAGAGTCGGACTCTTTTTCAGCACTGAGAAAACAGATTTCCCTTACACAGTATTAAAAAAAGCACAAACTCCAAAATTTCTTCAATGTTAATATAGATTTAAGATGACACTTTTGTAAATATTTTGGTTCTGATATCTTTTGATTTGCATACAGTCATATTTCATTGATCTGATACAGAGGTTATTTGTAAATTAAAAATATATTACAACTACTTGCAAGAGAATTATTTTGAATTTCCAAAAATAATTTCAACAATGTAGTGATATTCGAGAAACTATCATAATTTAGGATGTTTTTGTGTATAAAAAAAAATCAAAACAACGACATAGGTAAAATATGGTGTAACATGTATATAATATTCATATTTTATCCAGAGGAAAACTGTTTAGCCAGAGGTCAGCGTGACCTCATGATAATGACATATCAAAACATTACAGTGTGTCCCTAATAAATGAAAACACCATTTAATGGATCTTGTAATATACTTCACTTATATTGTGCTTATAGTACTATATACCAGTGTGTGTGAAATGATTTTGTTAGAAAGACTTTCTAATACATTATCTGGCTGATTGATATTTTTTATATTAAATATAAATGCTACTGAAATGGTTTTAAGGGAAAAGTCTCGCTATTTCTGTGATCACTGTACTATTACTATTAATGTGCTTCCTCAGCTACATTTAGACATAGATGCTATATATTGGTGCTTTAATGCTAGTGTCAGCTTTTTCTGCCGCAGAAAATACTGGCACTTTATCAAATTCCCTTAACCTGATACGTACAGCTTACAGTTTATATAATTATTTGCATTTGCAATAATAGAGAAAAATAATGATTTATTATTTCTGTTATATCATGTATAATGCATGGACTCTGCTACCCCCCCACCCCCCTCCAAATTTTTGTTGTTGTAACACATAGCTTTCTGTCTGCAATTATGTTTTATTTGGGTGAAGTATAGACAAGAGATTTGCTTGAATTTAAAAAAAAACAGGCTTAAATGTAGATAACATTTACCTTATAGCCACCATTCCTAATTTGAAGCAGGAAATTATTCATTTGCAATTAAAAATATAAATTTTTGGTATATATTTAAGGGAGATAACTTGGAATATTTAAATATTTGATTGACAGGACAAAGGCGAAATCTTTAAAAAAAAACATTTGGACTAAAGTCTTGCTGTCAGTCACATATACCTCATTGATCCAAATTTTAAAGTCAATTTTGTGAACAATTTAATAAGTATGCAATTATACAGTTCTGTAAAAATGATAAATTATGTTATGATAACTTATGAAAATGACCATCATATTGCCTGAGATTTTTGATAGTACACACAATGTACAAGTTTCCCTTTAAGCTTTCCAAATCTTGCTAAAGTAAAAATTTCAGAATAGTTTCATCAATGCAGTTCATCAGTTTGCCTTTCACAGATAGTGTAGTATAGGTTATCAATAATTTGATACCGACAGTTTCATTTGCCAAAAAGAGCTAGAAAACTGCATGATCAAATCATAGAAACCTGGTGATATTGAAATGTTGCAGACATAAACAGTGGCTGGGGAAAGAACTTTTATGCTGAAAAGAGACATCAATGTATTCTGTATAAATAGTAACAGATATTCTATTTTAAGATATCCCTGTGACATAGTCCTTAAAAAACATTTTTTGATAACGCATAGTTTTACATCAGAATACAGGCTTGTTTTCCCTTGTAAAAAAAGTTTTTTTTTCTTTCCCAAAATGAAAAAAAATAAAATAAGGAATATCTTCCCGATTTTATTGAAACTAATGCTATATTTTCCCAATGTAGGAACAGGCTGTTGTAAAATTTAAGTAGAAACAACACTGATAATTGCTAAATATATATTTTGCAGTGCTGCTCTGTCCTTCCTCGTATTTGTTTAGATCAGTGTGTGCTATATATAGCAGCATGGAGTGTGTGTGAGGTGAATGTATGTATATTTAGTGTTGTTGCAGATACTGTGATTCATTTGTTGAGATATCTTTCAGTTTTATGGATAGACTGAAAAGTGGCCAAAATACAACTGAATAATGAGATAGATGCCATGATATCAAATTCATAATTGAACGACCGTTACTCAAATGATAATGACACATTTAAATGAAAGCAATGGTACAGCCATGCTTACATACTGTAGATTGTTCAGCATCTATATGTGTGAAACACAAAATCAGTTTGCTCTTACACATGTACATTCACATTGATTTATTTTACTCAGTTTTAATGCCGACTACAGGCCGTTTCCCATATTTAAAAAGAGTATAATTTTCCCAAAATTACCAAAAAGTGAGCAATATATTCCTATTTTCAATACAAATAATGCTATGTTTTCCCAATTCATAACGGAACAGGCTGTTGTAAAATTTAGGTGACAAAACACAGGCCTAACATGGAAAAAGAACTAGTTTGCTACAGATTGACAGTATTTAAGGTAGCAGTGTACAGTAGAAATGGCCCGACTCTGAAAAACAAGGCGCTTGTCGAGGAAATGTAAACACAGCGGATTTACCCTACACAACACATATATACATGTATATATATTTGTAAACTGCATTATATTTACAATACATATAGTACTGAGAAGTGTAAAAACCTCTTTTTTCTATGTATGTTACGTACTTGTGTGAAAACCATGGTTACCACATCAAAAATTACCAAAAAATGCCATTTATTTTTTATTTTTGACCCTTTCGGATTATGGCCAAAATTTTAACCAAAAACATTTTTTATTTATTTTACAAATGTGAAGCTCACATAGCTCACTTCATCATACTTATACCAATTTTAGTACAGTTTTATTTTTATATATTTTTTTTACATGTCATTATGCAGGGGTTATAGCCATTTAACAAAAATATCACCCATGGCCACAACCATCTACTGTACACTGCTACCTAAAAAACTTGTTTTGTAAGTGACAAATATCAAAAGTGATATTTTCACACTGAAAATATCACTTTTTGGTATTGACCAATCATAACAGTTTCCTCTATTCGCTGCATTCAAAGGAATGTTCAGATTCAAATGAAGCGAAGGTAGAATAAGTGGTTGTTATGGTAAATTTTTGGTACACACACTTAAGTATTTACATAAATATACAAATAATAACATTTTTATAAGCAATCATACCAGGAAATAGTAGAAAACATCGGAATTGCGTTGTGTATCCCATTCAAAATGGTGTGCAGCCTTGTTGTCAAGGGTGACGTCATTAGAATATGGCACTAATTATTACACTTCTGATTCTCGCCCTTTTTTAATGCATTGCATTTATTCATGTTTTATGCATAAAAAAATGTGATAAATAGAAAATGTAATGGTGTCTTCAGTAATAATAAATATATTTCACTCGTGGTGCTAATATTTTGATATTTTTCACGAGTGCGCATTAAATATCCTCTATGTAAGGTTGAAAGTTGGCTATATTTCATTATTGGAAATATGGAAAGGATGTTGAATTTTCCCAGTATGAAAACAATTTTATATTTTTACAAATATTAATACTGCTATTGAAACCAAATTCAACTGATAAGAGCCAGAATAATTTAAAGTCAGTATTCATCCTTATAAACTGCTGTTTAAGCAAATATTTTAGCATAGGAAATAAAAACTGATGTGCTTTTTATGCTGTCAATTCCATAAGCAAAAATTATTATTTACATTTATCAATATTTATAGGATAATGTATATGATAGTTTAAACATTCCATTCTCTATAGCCACACATACAATACAAAAAAATAGCCCTAGTTCAGCTTACAACCCATTGAAAGGAGTTTATAAAAAACATTAATATACTTTTTAATGTTGTACATTCCCTTTCTCTCATAATTCTTTCCATATTTTATCGCAAAAAAGGTACTCATAATTCATAAAAATAGGATAATAAAATGTTTAAAAATACCAAACATCTAGAAATAATCATATCTTAAAAGTTGTCAACTACAATTCCAACATACAGAGTAGGGGAAGTGATCAAGGTGATGAGATTGCCTCACTACCCAGGTATTCTAAATATATAAATAATACCAATGATACCTGAGACTGTATTTCATTTCACTGGTGTTATCAGATCTATATGTATCGATGTTATTGAACACCAGAAGGAACGTACATGGATGCAGCAGACATGTTGACTTAGTATTATTTGTAGATCTATGACCTTTTTTATGATCACAAGCTTTAAAGACTGAGAAGGACATTTTGTGGATTGGGGATAGAAAATGGCAAAACACTAAAAATCACATTCTTACTTGCTTCATCATAGGTTCTATAAATGATTTCGATTGTAGGAAATAAACTATGCTCACTACTTGAGCATAGATACAGTATTAAAAGACAGGGAAAAAAATTGACCTTGAATGATCTTGCAGTTTGACCTTGACTTTTTAAAACCTCTTATAAACACGACCTTTAAAAAGCTGTAATACAACATTCTTTGGATATAAAAGCAAAACATGTTTTAAGAAATTATCATATGACATTGATATATTGTCTACAGGTTTTGACTGAGAAACTGAAAGGGTTGGTAAAATGTCAGTAATGATTTTTGAGACCATTCGAAAATATGATTTTTAAACCTTGAGTTTATGTCCTTGCATTTTAGGATGGATAAAATTACCTGTATAAGGGCGTCATGTATGTAAAGTTTCATCATGATCACAAGGACAAGTAGTGAATTAAAATATAAAAAACTAAAGTGTTGAAATATACTCAATCTGACCTACAATATAAAGTTTTATTACTCCTGGTGACATGAATGTTTGTATTGATACAGGGAGGTGGAGCAGATACACCGAAAAAACGAGGAAGGCCGTCTTTGTCATCTGTAAGTTATGCTAGGTAACAGTCTTCAATTCCTTGTAAAGATTGTTCACTTATTTTTCAAAGGAAGCTGTATCAAATAGTATTACAGAAGATTAATGACATGGGGTTGATGAAATTTGTAGGCTGGTAGTAAGTTATTATTGAATCTACATATCACCGTATACCAACTGGTGTAACTGATTATAACTTGTCATGATACTTGTGACTCTGGTTCTGAGCAGTTTGTGTATGTGTGTGTGTGTGTTAGAAAATTGGAAAGTCATAGACCAGTTCATTTTCGTCAATCTATAGCTAGTGACTTAATTTTCAACGAGTTTGATCAAATTTCATAGTGTACAAATGTCAATTTGGAGAAGGTGTAGAGGTCAATGTTACCCTTAAAAAATAAATTTGTCGCAGTTCTGGCAGGTTCATTTCTTAACAGATTTAAATCAAACTTCATTAAATTAATTTATGGAAAGTTTTCAGATAATTCTATCAAATTATGTAATTTTACATGGCTGCAGGGCATTATGAATAACCACGATATGGTTCCCTATATAGCTAACATTATTAGAAAATGTCTTACCGACATTTTCTAATAATGTTAGCTATATAGGGAACCATATCGTGCATGTTTTTTTTTGTCTGGATGACACAAAGCTCAGACTTGGAATGTGAGTTGCCCTAATGAACGGAAGAACCTTATTGTTTTTGAGTGTCATCTATCAAAGGTCAAGCTGCCTTAAAAGTTCAGTATAATTTCATGTCTGGAGGGAATGACCTGGTTAGATGAGAACTTCCGAACAAGTGATAGCACAATGCTCAATTTTTGTATGTTGGTTTCTCTATGGAAGGGGAAAACTCAGTTGATATTGGACTTAATATGTCCAGGATCAAAGTAACTGTCACTAAAAGTAGATTTTTGTTTTGCCCAGATCTTTAATTCGTAACAATTTGAACCAGTTCAGACTAGTGTTATGGGGGGTTTTCTAGGCAAAAGGAGGAAGAAATCTATTGAAGATTTTGTGTGTATTCTGTCAAAGGTCAAGGGTAACTTATTAAAAAGTAAAAATAGATTTATAGAAAAAATCACTTATATCCTGATGCTAACTTTAGAAGGAGCATTGCACAAAGCTTGAACTTGGTTTGTTGGTTGCCCAAGGGAAAAAGATATCCCTAATGATTTGGGGCAAATTTTAATTGTTGTTTAATGTAAGGACACTTACCAAAACCTGTAATTTTCTTTGATACTTTATTTCCTTATATACTTCAAAATGAATAATCGTGCAAAGGGCAGTTTTCGTATCCATGTGTTTTCATTTATGGAAATAGAATTTGAAGAACACTAAAGACTTCTGGTGTGATCCAAGGTCCAAGATTTCAAGGTCACTGATACTGAAAGTAGAATTTTCTCAGAATGAATATGATTCCTGTATGCTAACTCCAGAATGAGATAACAATTTCAAACTTTAAATCCCAAAGCAACCATTTCACAAGCACAGTGGCTGAGTGCTGAGCCCTTCACTGATGTATGATCATGAATTATAGATGTTGCTCAGAGGTTTTTCGGCGTCACTCTCATTTGAGCTGATTTGTGATGACAAAAATCAAAAGTTTTTCTCAATTTAGCTGGTTGGTAATCATGAAAACTAAAGATTATTTGAATGACTATAGACCTGTAATTTGGCGAATAGTTACGTGAGAATTGTAACCCAGTGTCTGGTCTGATACTTCTGAATGTTTGTATTACATAGAAATCTGGAACAGATAGTAATGATGTGGAGAATTCTCTGTCAGCCTCACCGAAAAAACGAGGAAGGCCGTCTTTGGCATCTGTAAGTTAACGTGCCATTCTAGTATCAATTAAACAAGAATAAATGATATATTTTTAGCCTGTTGTCTTTGAGACTAGATTATTTTGATGTTATATAGCTATAGCAGGAACAGCATAGATTTAGTGTAAACCTATTAACCTTGTCACTTTTGTTGTGAATCTTGAAAATTTTCTTTTCCCTTCAAGAACATTTTGAAAATATCATGAGAACATTTATTAATTAACAAGCATAATAATGATAATATAAATATAGATTGGCTGATATTTTAACCATAAGTTTATAAAAGCATTTGTAAGTTTTCATGCTTTTGGACAACCTTTGGTCCCATTAGTCCAAAATAACTGGTCAGAGCTCTGCCCCATCAAAAAAAAAATTTAAGGGGAGATAATCGGCTATTTTGAACTAGGGTCTGTAGTGCCATTACATTGAATTATTTATAAAGACAGGTGATTATGTTTGGATATATCTCAAATTATCCAAGTCTCATAAAGCTACACGAGTAACATCAATATTCTAAAAGCTAGTTGTAACTTGTTAGTATATACCTGATGTGACATGTGACTGACTTTGCCCAGTCAGTGGTACACCTTTATGATATGTGGATGTTTGTTGATACAGAAAAGAGGAACTGATAATGATGTAAACGATGAGCCTACAAACCAACCAAGAAAACGAGGAAGACCTCTCGTAAGTTTTCATGTTCGACTCGCACGTGGGTCAAATAAATTGTCTTCTAAACCAATATCTAGATCAATAGTTGTGAAAATCTTTGCTGCCCTGTGATTATGAGTCCTGTTGGTGTCGAGTCTAAAAATAAATACAGCAGCATTAAAATGTACTCGTTTGAGAAAGTTATCAATTAGGAGTCAAAATGTACTCGTTCAGAAAAGTTATCAACTAAGAGTCAAAATGTAAAATGTGCTCATTCAGCAAAGTAAAAGAGAAGGAGACGAAATGTATCTCGGTGACTTGTCGTATTTTGACAGTTGTTAATGGTGTTATTAAAGTGTACATATATATATGTTGATTCATGGACGTAATCAAACAAATATGGCTGGCAAATAAAGGAGGACTGTAGCCACGTTTTACATAAATCCTATGCTCACCAAAGACATCAATTAAAATATTCTATTTAGTCAGTAACTATACATCTTCGTTCTTAGAATTACTCTCAGATTTCATGGAGTTTTTTTGGCCAAGGGAAAATATGTATTGTGCAAGGAATAGATTTGCGGTACCTGCATGGTAACTTGTTGCAGCCGTCAGACTGTGGTCAATTGAAAATATGTGATATTCTTCATACACACATGTAACAACTTGGAATAAATGAAGTTTGTTGGTAATTCTTGAAATTTATAACGATAAATAATACCAATCTTGTACAGAAAGAGTCATACCGATCCATATTCTATTCACAGGGATCAACGAAGAAGCAGAAAGGAGATAAAGCTGTAAGTGCAGTACTGTAGTGGCCATTTATTTATAAGACAAGGTTTCTGATGGTATTGTATATTATATGAAGCATCTTTGTAATACTCTTAACCAGCTCTATGTAAGGGTGTGAAATCCATGTCCAGCTTCAACCTTCTGCACAAGGTTCTTTCTCTTAAACAGCTCTATGTGAGGGTGTGAAATCCATGTCAGGCTTGAACCTTCTGCACAAGGTCAATAGTACTCTTGGTAATTTGTGAGAGACATACCTGTTCATATTCATCCATCTCCCTTCGGTTATACTCGTGTACACTATATTAGTACAGGTAGGAACAAGTTTCCGAAATTGTACACACTCTGTGGGAGTACTGAAATATTGGATACACTAAATGTCCACTCTATTGTTTGTTGCTCAAGGCCACAAATAAGGGTGATGCTATAACTTGTTAAAGCATGTTTATTTTATAAATAATCAGTTATACATACATGAAGTTGCTTGGTTAATTATAATAAGATACAGATTGCTTTAACTATTGCAGAAAAGATGTTTGGTTTTGTGCTATAATCCAAGACTGTCTTCAAAAAGCTTGTTGTGTGGGAGGTTGTGGGGTAAAACATGATGTTGTGGCCGTATGTTTGTGTAGAAAGGTCTGTATTTGTAGACCTGTTTTGCTACAGGCCAGAACAACAGAACTATATCCTCACAGGAAAGCCAAGAGGTTGTCCACTATTAGGAGAAAACGGTGTATTTAGTTATATGAAAAATGTCAATCTGTTTAAAATGTCATAATAGGCAGATACAAATAAACTAGTTGTCAAAAATGCAAGTACTTGAATGGATGATGCATTTAGAATATTTGTTTGTCAAGAATGTTATTGGACTAGAGCTAATCTTAAATAGAGTTAAAATGTTGCAGTTATGCACTTTTAATTTGTATACTGAAAAAAAAGGAACAAGATGACCCCATGCCATCTATCCCCACAGGAAAGCCTAGAGGTCGGCAACGATTGGGTGATTTTTTTTATTAATCGGGTTAAAAAGTTGTAATATTTTGTAAAAGATGTTGAATTATGTATGTAGTTGTGGGTTACAAACATATAGTTATAATCCTATGTTTGGTCTAGATACATGTAGGTACATGTATGTATGAAATCTTGGTTACAGCAGCCCCCCAGCAAACAATCCCCAAATATCCCCACAGGAAAGCCAAGAGGTCGAGGACCATTGGGCGAAAATAGTGTAAGTTATATGAAAAATATCAATCTGTTTAAAAAGTCAAAATAGGCAGTTGAGAATAATTCTGGTTTTTTTTTTCGTCGAGGATATTGTGCACTTTTGTTTACTTTGTAAGAGTTCAGTTGTAATTAGATTATGTATGCAATTGTGGGTTAACACATGAGTTACAGATTACTATTATAAACAAAGGTTTATGATAGATGATATTTCATAAAAGTTGTTGATTTTTATGTGTACAATCGTGTGTTAAAAACATGAAGTTTAGCCAGGGTTTTGATGTAAATAGGTTTTCATTTGAAATCTTGTTTACTGCAGGCCAAAATATCCCGATATATTCCCACAGGAAAGCCAAGAGGTCGACGACCATTGGGTGAAAATGGTGTAAGTTTAACAAAAAATATTAGCCCTGTCAAAAAGTCAGAATTAAAAATATTATTTATGTAAAAAAAAAAAAGTTTGTCATAGGCAGATGAGAATAAATCGTAGTTGTCAAGTACAAAGGATGATTGTTTATATTAGGAGGTTTTTTTGTCAAAGATGTTTGTTATTGGACTAGAGCTAAGTTTGAATACATGTACTGTAACTGTTTCAGTTGTGCAATTTATACACTGCTAGAAAAAAGGGAACACACATTATAGATTACTTAAATGTTGTTCGATATTTGAATAATATGTGTACTCCGTGTCGATACAGATTTCGAGTATCATGCAAACACTCGTTTATACACTTGACATACACAGTATGGTAGACAGTGAATTCCTATCTTTGAAATAAGTACAATGTATACGTTAAAAAAAATGTTAGACAAGCACTCCAGTTAACAAACTTGATAGTTTGTCTTTTACCAAATATAAACAAGTAATATAAGTCTGTTGATGAGGGGAAATCTTTACAAACTATTTACGGTTTGTTTGTAGTTCTGTTGGTGAAGATACAGGTTACAAGTATAAAAAAAGTTTGCTTTTTTGCCATAAACTGATCATAATATTTTGTAAAAGTTGTTGTGGGTTAAAAGTAGGAAGTTATTGCCATATTTTTGGTTTAGATAGGTTTATTTTTGAAATCTTGTTTACTGCAGGCAAAAACAACAACATGTATTCCCACAGGAAAGCCAAGAGGTCGACGACCATTGGGTGAAAATGGTGGAAGTTAAACAAAAATTATTAGTCCAGTCAAAAAGTCGTAATCAAAAATATTATTTATGTAAAAAAAGTTTGTCATAGGCAGATGAGAATAAATCGTAGTTGTCAAGTACAAAGGATGATTGCTTTGGAGGTGTTTTTGTGAAAGATGTTTGTTATTGGACTAGTGCTAAGTTTGAATACATGTAGTGGAACTGTTTCAGTTGTGCAATTTATACGCTGGAAAAAGGAGACACATATTATGGATTACTTACTAGTAATATATGGTGTTCGATATTTGAATAGTATTTGTACTCCGTGTCGATAAAGATTTCGAGTATCATGCAAACACTCGTTTATACACATGACATACACAGTATGGTAGACAGTGAATTTGTATATTTGATTTGTATACACTGTTAAAAATCTTACAAGACAGCACTCAAGCACTCCAGTTAACAAACTTGATAGCTATAGTTTGTCTTTTACCAAATATATACGAGTAATATAAGTCAATTGAGGGGAAATCTTTACAAATTATTTACTGTTTGTTGTGTTGTTGGTCAGGATACAGATAACTGTTATAAAAAAGTTAGCTTTTTTGCCATAAACTGATCATAATATTTTGTAAAAGTTGTTGTGGGTTAAAAGTAGGAAGTTATTGCCATATTTTTGGTTTAGATAGGTTTATTTTTGAAATCTTGTTTACTGCAGGCAAAAAATAACCCATATATCCCCACAGGAAAGCCAAGAGGTCGACGACCATTGGGTGAAAATGGTGTAAGTTATACAAAAAAAAATAAAAAATCAGGTTAAAAATTTGTCATAAAAATTGGGATCAAGTTAAAAAGTGGTAATTTTTTGTAAAAGTTGTGGAATTTCGTTTGCAATTTTGGGTTAAAAACATGAAATTATAGCAATATTTTTGGTTTTGGTTTAGACAGGTTTATTTTTGAAATCTTGTTTATATTACTGCAGGCCAAAAAATCCCCATATATCCCCACAGGAAAGCCAAGAGGTCGAAGACCATTGGGTGAAAATGGTGTAAGTTATACAAAAATAAATCATTCGGGTTAAAAAGTCGTCAAGGCAGATAAGTATACACTGTACATGTACATGTAGTTGTCAAGTACAATGCATAATTTCATTGGAGGCATTTTTGTCTAAGATATTATTGGACTATAGAGCTAAGTTTGAGTGGTGTAATTGTTGTCTTAAGATGTTATTGGACTAGAGATCAGTTTGAGTAGTGTAATTGTTGTCTTAAGATGTTATTAGACTAGAGCTAAGTTTGAGAGTCTTAAGATGTTATTGGACTAAAGCTAAGTTTGAGTAGTGTAATTGTTGTGTTTAGATGTTATTGGACTAAAGCTAAGTTTGAGTAGTGTAATTGTTGCAATTGTGCACTTTGTATACCGGAAAAAGGGAACAGATGAACTCATAACATGGATTATACTTATGCGATGTTGGATCTTTGAATATTTGCAATCTGTGTCACTCAGGCATATTATGCTTCATGGAAACACTTATTCATACAAGAGATATTTTGTGTACTGCAGGCCGAAAAATCCCCATATATCCCCACAGGAAAGCCAAGAGGTCGACGACCATTGGGTGAAAATGGTGTAAGTTAAACAAAAAATATTAGTCCAGTCAAAAAGTCATGATTAAAGATAATAATTATTAAAAAAAAAAAAATGGTCATAGGTCGATGAAAATTAATTGTAGTTGTCAAGTACAACAAACTCGCACTATACGTCAACCTCGAAATTTAAACATGCAAAGATGCAGATTGAGTTAAAAGTATTGGACTTGTTCTCTTTCCAAATAATTCAGAATTTTAGCTTGCCAATTAATGTTTTGTTTCAAGTGTTTTGGACAAGGATAGGGACAGAGTTGATCAATAGTCAATGGTTCTAAAAAGCAAAAATCTCTATCAGAGGTTAAGTTTATCAAAATTACTGTCAGCAAGTTTATCAAAATTACTGTCAGCAAAATGTAAAAGGCAAAAACAAGTACTATCATTTATGTAATCAATACAAATTTTAATAAGGGACTTTCCATACATGTGTTCATGTGTAAACATTGTAAAATACAAAATTTTCAGAAAATAAGTTTGGGGCTCTGCAGTCTGGGAAACGATTAATAGCTATTTTAATGGCAAGCAATGAGAGGTTTATAAGAAAAAAATAGACCGTGTCTAGCAGATATGTTCAGATAAACTAAATGAAATCGGTCAGAAAATAAAGGGAGGTAATTCAGGGAATTATGAAATCCTCAGATTTATTGTCACAGATGAAATAAGTGTGCTTCCAATTTTGTTAACTACAGAGGCAAAAATATGTCCCCACGGGAATACCAAGAGGACGGAAACCTATAGGTGATAAAGCTGTAAGTTCTACATGCATCCAAGTCCTGTAGATAAAATATATGTAAATAAAGAGCATCTCTTATTCTTTCAAAGCATAATATGTTTGTTGTAGATTAAATCATCATTGTCTGAATTATACTCCATATTTTGAATTTGAACCAACGTCAGTTTGTAATACTCTCATTTTAATGTCAGTGTTCCTCAGATGCCATATAAAATTTGACTGACTTGAAATACTTTCAAGAATATATGGATTGATCTGAGAACTTATCTGTTGGTCTGGTAACCAAGATCTCCACCCCTTTGTGTTGACAGAGGGTTCCATACCAGCCAACAGGGAAACCCAGGGGTCGACCTAAAGCTGATATGACTGTCACGGCTGTAAGTGCCTTAAAGTAACTTCGATCACGATAAGTGACAATTTTTGAAGCCAGTTACTCTAATCTGAATTTTATAAATATAATTATGATGGAAGCAGGAAACATTTTTTATTCACATCTAAGTACAATATGAGCACAAAAATAAGTTATAGACTTTGTCACTATGAAGGTGATGATCACAGTACTAGTAAAATGTTTGTAGACTTCATCAGTATTTGAAATGGAAATTTGAAGATTCTGTTGCTATCGATTTTGATTTTAATTAAAAAAAGTTGTTCTGTGACCTACAAACCAAATCTGATTTTCGCTTTGAGGAACAAGTTTGATTGTTTGTTGAATTTTGGCACACAAAATATGGCAGTGGTTCTAGACATTGTTAAAATATGGTTTTAAAGGTTGTTAGTGACGCTTACTTGTGAAAATAATGCAATACCCGGTTGTAATGATTATATTCACAGATAACAATTGAATATGAATTTGATATTGACGCAGAAACAGATGCAGTATGAATAAAACCGATGGCTCCACTACAAATCCTAAATGTTTATGTAAGTTTTGCAGAATTTCATGCCACGAATTCTCTCGATAGTTGTTGATAGTGTTAATTCATCTTCTGCAGTTTGATCATTTTTAGTTTTTTGGGTGTTTTTTTTGTTAAAATTATGCAGACAAAAGTTTAAATCAACAGGTACCGATTATTCACTCAACTCCATGCTAGAAAATAGTTTAAATTCATACAACCATCTACCTTGTCTTTTTTCGTGACAAATTTTTCAAAATTTCTGATTGAATTCCTCCATTTGTCTTTCATGCTGCAGGACATTGGGAAATATTCAAAACACGTCCACCTGCTATAGCTGCTGTCTTACGAGATAACAGTCCACGTCATGAACAGATGCTGTGTTATTATAAACATTGTGGGAATGATGACTTTTCTTGAACATGTTTATGCGTATCGTGTGACTTGTGATCTGGTGCCAGTTTACAGTTGAGGAGTACCATTGGACTTTGAATCGACGACCATATTCTGACATTCACTTTTGTAAATTACTTTCTCTGTGAAAGATGAAAGAATTGCATTGTGATCAAATATACATATATAAATTTGTATATCTGTTTTTATAAATTTCAGTATAACTGAAGTTTCTTGTAACTAGTCCGGGAAGCTGTTTACGTAATGTCCGATGATTGCAAATATTGGGAAAATGAATAGAGGCCAAAACAGAAGACTAAAACTGTAAAGTTGTCTTCCTGATACATTCAGAGTACATGTATATATGTTATACACTGGCCTCATTACTTGTGTTCAGTACATAGATTTGTCATAGGTATGAGTTTTACCTGAGGCATAGAATGATGAAACATATATATATATATATATATAGTCTGAAGAATCTCCTAGAAGAGATGAAAGTACCAAAGACTCGTTGTTAAGAATTTTTCTTTTTATAATATATATATATATATAGAATAGTACTTCCTGAAATGTGTTCAAGAAGAGCTCAAAGCTTTTATTAATTGAAATAATATTTTGTAGATAATTTTGTGTCGTTGAAAGTATTTTTAATCCATTTTAAAAGACTTTTTATACATGAATAGATCTGGTCATACTGTGACTTCATTTGGCAGCATTCAAGTTTTAGAATATGAAGTAACGCATTATTTTATCTAGGTCAATATATATGTGTACCGTACATAAAAGGAGATCAAATGAATATCATTACTTCATGAATGCAATCAATTTGTTTCTTAATTAATGAGCTCTTACTGTTGCATCCAAACAAAAGATTCTGAAAAATATAAGCATTCTAACAAAAACCAAAAAAAATACATGAGTGGACAGTGGTCTCCTGTCAAAGTGAAGTTTATGAACTTAATTTGGTACCGAAGGGAGGTAATCCACTGGCAGGGACATCTATGAGCTATATTTGGTAGAAAGGGGGAGGTAATTCATTTACATATATATATATGCTATGATTCATAGTACTAGTGGTGCAAATGTATTTGTTGTGCAGTACATCTGTAACATTTTATTTTTTTCCAAAATGTAAAGAAAATGAAAGAAACATTAAAAAATAGCTTTATAGATGCATGTATATTCATGTCAGGTTCAGCATCTAAATGTCCACTTCACTTGTTAACTTGTTATTAATATGAACGCAACTTTTACCTGTATTAAGTTTGCATTAAGAATAAACTAAGTGAAACTTAGAACAATCTTAGATTAATTAAACACATGGATTAATTAACTAACACAACTTTTATTAACATTCCCATTGATTTCAAGAAAAAAATGGTGCTATTTTGGCCACTTTGTTTTACAAAATACGTTTAGCAGTGAACTTAGAGTAGAATATTTATTAATGTAGTTGTTTGTGTTGCATGATTGTGAATATTATGTGTTACTATGATACATAATAGCTGTCTGTACATTGTATGTGCTTACATAGAAATTACTTTGATGCATGTATCTTCTAGGAAAGTAATATAACTGGGGGGAAAATTCTGAAAATACAAGAGTGTCATTCTAAAACAAAATTGGTATTGTATTTGGTATTTGTTAAAAGTTGGACTCTGTTGAAAATTTGAATTCATGAACACATGCAAAACTTCCGTACTCGCTGGTCGTATAGCCTGTTGAATCCTGTCCGTACGTCTATCACTTTATAATTCCTTTATTGATAAATGTATTGTATGTCAGTTTTATTGGTGTGACAATGTCACTTTTTATAATAAAGATCAAAATCATAAAATCTACACTTCTTTGTATTGACTAAAAATATCGGTGAAATAAGTGTGTAAAACCTGTGTATTTCACGGACATTTTACTACAAATACAGGCAATGGTTATGATTATTATACCATTGTTATGTATACTAAGTATAGGATGATCTGTAAGACACATGGATGACCCTTGGAGTTGTCTGATGATGATGAGGATGAGGATGAGGATGAGGATGATGAGGATGATGATGATTAAGTAGGAAGTTGTTATGTTGATGGTGTTGCTGATGTGATGATGGGAAAGGGAGTTGTTGGTAGTGGTTTATTAGGTCACCTGAGCTTTGCTCAAGTGACCTATTCCGATCACTTTCCATCTGTGGTCGTGCGTAAACTTTTTACATTTTCAACTTCTTCTCAAGAACCAGTTGATGGATTTTTTTTCAAACTTGGTCAGAATCATCCTTGGTAGATGTGGCTTCAAAATTGTAAAATTGGGATTCCTACCCCAACACCTGGGGCCAGGGTGCACGTGGGGCCCCAAAGGGAAAATTAATCAATATTTCAAAGATATTCTTCTCCAGACTCAGAGGTACTACAGTCATTTTCTCTGCATGGATCATAGATCATCAGGGGCTTTATTTAAATTGTAAATTTCAGGACCCCGAGCTATCTGTTCTCCCTTGGGGAGGGGGTAAAGTTTACTAGAGTTTAAATAGGGAAACAACACTTTTAGGTATATTTTGAAAATTTTCTGTAGGAAATTATTCTTACTTGGTGAGAATTATCCTTGGAGGAAGAAAATTTCAAATTGTAAAATTAGGATTCCTACCCCAACCCTAGGGGCCAAAGAATTTACCAATATTTCAAAAATCTTCTTCTCCAGACTCAGAGGTTCTGCAGTCAATTTCAGTGCATGGATAGAAAGATCATCAGGAGCTTTATTGAAATTGTCCATTTCAGGACCCCTGAGGCATCCGTTCCTCCTTGGGACGGGGGTAAAGTTTACTATAGTTTATGTAGGGAAATAACAATTTTTGGGTATGTTTTATCCATTTTCAGCGGAAAATTATTCAAACTTGGTCAGAATCATCTTTGGTGGATGAGGGTATTACATTGTAAAATTGGAATTCCTGCCCCATCCCCAGGTGCTAGGGCGGGGCCCTAAGGGGAACATTTACCAATATTTTTCAAATTCTTATCCTTTGATGGCATGACAAGTATTGTATTTCACTTAGTTTACATGCTGATTTCCACATCACATCTAAACAATAAAAATAAAGCTACCAGTACCTATGATATAACTCAGTTGACCGCTAAGGCCCTTGGGCCTCTTGTGTTTATGTTACGCCTACAAAAGGTACATTTTTACAACACATTACATAGTTTTGTTCGTAAGTTGTTTTCGTACCCATCTTTGCAATTTTGGGTGAACATTTGACAGTTACCGGGTATATTGAACTAAAACTCTTAACAGAATATCGCAAGTCATGTTCACATACAATAACATTGACTAGGGTTTTGTCATTTAATCGATACATATTTACACCACACAACATGTTAAAGTATACACTGCTTTTCCAGGTATAAAGTCAAACAAACTTTGAATAAAAAGGCAATGTTAATTTTGAGACGTACTAAAAGTATCTTATTTCTTTAAAAAACTCTTAGTAGATTCTATGCTGATACAAAGTTCTTAATTATGCACACTTCATGGTTTTAGGTTTACAAACTATGTTAACTTTGTGGTCGGCTGGTATTGTTTGACTAGATTCAAAGTGCTTCACTTGTGATACTGCCACAACAATGAGAACCGTAAAAACTTAACCCAAGATAAGGGGCTGAACTGATCATGACCTGACATGGATTTCACATACCTCTATATTCAATGAACATGAGCTGTCTGAGAGCCGAGGAAGTCTTTCTGCTTGTTCCTTTGTTTATATCAAAATCCACTCTATCACAATTGTGTTGTTATATTTTGTATGTCTTATTGAAATATTATTTTTTTATCTTCCATGTGGTCATATCAGCCATATCTGCAAGTGTACAGATATTTCATTTTACTCCGAAGCTATACATCAACTTCATATTTACACCTGCCAGATTATTCATAATTTAATTTATGGGGAGATGCCCCCACTTTACATTCAAGGATGACTTCCATGATGCTCCTTTAAACCGACTTCTTCCAAGGATCTGGAACATTTATGTTGGACATGAAGTCTGTCGGAGAGCTTTAATTTGCTTCTGATCAGATTGTTGCGTCTATTTGCAGGTCATTGCACTCTTCTTTGTCAAACAGATTTTTGTCAGCTTCGCTTGTTGAAACAAATTTTATTGATGACGCGTATTAGATCTGACAACAACTACAGATATCGTCTGTTGTTCTTAATTGTTCAGGGTTTTATGATCTTGCAACAGCTAAATATAAGGTCATATGAAAACAGAGTCCATAAATGACACTGTTTTTGCAAGACATATAATTTGGGGGTAAAATCAGGCATAAATCACAAATTCTGACACTTTCATATGGTACGCCACGAGCTCTAACATTTTGAGGGTCAAAAGCCATTTGGAGGTAAACTGAGACCCTGAATGATGGGACCACGCAAGGGGCACTTTAAAAAGTGGAATATAACTGAAATGTCATTATGTAACCATTGTAACATGACACTCGACTCACATTATTTCGACAATTGTCTATAGCTTACAAAATGTGTCTGGGGAGACACGTCAGCTAAAAAGAAAGAAGAGGAGGGTGAGAAAAGAACAAAAAAGAGGACACAAGTTTCGGTTTCTCCATAGTTTCCTAGAAAACGTCTGCAAGAGGTGCCACGTATGATGTTCAGGTCTGCTCTCACCCCAAACCTTCAGAAGTACTGTAAATTATGTAAATGGCTATTCTGGTAGAGTTTACTTGATCACTATCAAATATGAGGGTCTTATTATATTTCTTGTACTGTTCGGTTTAAACAAGGCTAAGTCATGTTGGAAACTTGGAAGAAGTCACATTTGAAGGAAGTGTTAATAGTTCACCAATATAAAATCATGCTCACAAAACTGTTGATTGAATGAAGAAGAATGTACACTGACTGACATGTTGTGTTTGTTGCTCTGCCAGATTCAAGTAAAGAAAAAGTATTTCAAGAAAGAGAAATACCGCCTACAAGTGAAACCATTCAAAATTAGGAGGGCGAAATTTAAACCCAAGCCGACTGAAAAAAAGTTTATGACTGTGAAACCCCTCAAAACGGAACCACCCACAAAAAACAGAATTGTACCTGTTACTGTCCAGCTAGTTCAATCGCACAAGGACGAAAAATCTGGCACGCCTCACGTAAATCTTCGCAATTCTGGCACGCCTCATTTGAATCTTCGCAATTGTGGCACACCTTCTGTGAATCCTACTATCTTCAATGTGACTCCATCAAAAGGGAGCAATGCCCGTTATCCCATGCTCAACGAGTACCAAAGGAGTCTACTCCATGTGAACCATAGTAAACATTTACTGAACTATGAGTGTGACCGTGAACCTGCGCTGGACGTTCTACAGAAGAAACTTCTGGCCGTGAACACCCAGCTTATTGATACGGAGGAGCAGAGGCTGGAACTCGACAAACGTATCATCATATTTAAACAGCGCAAGATAGAACTGGAACGGCAACTGTTGAATTATCGGCCACAGAGACGGGTGTTAACACGAGTTGAACAGATTCCTGTCATAAACATGGCAAATGATCAACAAAGTGGTGTTGAACACGGAGCCAAAATTCAAGGGTGGGTGTCTGTAGCGGATAATCTTGTAAAAATCCCAAATTGTTCACCATCTTTGAAGAACTGTGAACGTAAACCTGAAGTTCAGGTAAGTTGAATAGTAAGAGAAAATAGACAAGATCAGGCCTTGATTGCGGAAAGTGGCAATCATAGACATGATGTTGTAAACAAGATGTTGAAATGATTTGCTGTAGCTAGCAAGGGGGAGGGAACGTCTATCTGATGGTTAGTTTCCAAAATGCATCTGAAGATTTGACAGTTTGCAAGAAGAAGTTGTTACAAAAAACCAGTGATTTGTGAAGTTTTGCATGATATGAACAGAATTCATTCCAGAAAAGGTAACTAAACAAATGGAAGTGTTAGGTTAGTACCCTGGTATGCTTGTGAATGCCATTTATGTGTATACGTATAGTGCTTGTTGCTTCCTTGGAAATGTTTGAAACTGATTTCTGTTTTCAGTGGCTACAGTAATAAGACTATTACTGGTTATTTTACCGTAAATCTGTATTGGAATGACCTCAATCAGGTGGGTGTTTGTGCGCCATTGTTGCACCAGAGTTGCATGTACGAGCTAGGTACTGAGTGTCCAATCTCTCCATACGAGGCAAGTTCTTTGGTTCTGCATATCCATTGTTCAAAGCACCTGTATTAATTAAATACCAATTAAACTCTGTTGTAGACCTCTGGTCCTTTGCACTCGCGTGCAAGATCATCAGCAGATGACTCCAAGGTAACCAATATTTCTCATTATGATATACATTTGTAATTATTCCATATCTAATTTATGGCAGCATTGTAGATCTGAATATATTTATCACATGACATTCATTTAAAATTTTCTGTGCAGTTCAATTCTTGCTCTTGAATTTGTAATGTCAGATTTCCCCTATTTGAATTGGGGCCACTCCAGAAAAGGCAGTAGGAGTTATCACCCCTTAATCCCAATTATCTAATGGAGACAACATCAATATAAGGCATGATAATGTTTACTGTTTTGTAAATGGTCTGTTTTAGTATACATATAACTATTACCCTTGTTTTAGGGAAACATGACTGTTTCCCTACGAAAAAGGGCTATAAATACACACTAGCAGTTGGAGAATCTATTGACCCGATAACACATTTAGTATTAGCATTAATGTGATTTTTGGAACAGAAGTGTAGCATTAAAGTGATGTTTGGACCAGATAATACTTCTACAAACTAACAAAGCAATTAGTCTTTCGGCTGGTTGTACTGTATGACCCTTTATATTCAAGTCACATTTGGTTGAAGTCAAACCTAAATCTCTCTATATCTTGGAGGGGAAAAAGAGTTTGTTCTCTGCATGTCTGTTTGAGTTTGAATTGGTACAGTGATATTTAAACCTAGAAACTTTTTAGTAATAGCTCTTCATCCAAGATCAATTTGAATTTTGAAATATGATTTTGTATAGCTATAATCTGTAAATCATTTTGGAGTGTTTCTATGAAAGTTTGTAGCTAATCTGCAATTTAGATGAACTGTACTCCCAATATCAAATTCCTAGAAAAGGGGGTCAGAAGCCATATAATTTCAGACCCAATTACACACATGGGGAATACTCAACCAAAAATTAAAAAAAAAAATTAAAGGGGAAGAATTCTGTGCTGGGTGCCTTCATCATGGCATTTCAGTGGGATAGCACTATAAAGTTGGCATCAGATCCACACTATAGGCAAGCACACCAACATACCCTGTCACCTTCATACACACATGCAAGCACGCATACACTACACACATGGAGACACATCCTTAAATGACCTTAGCTGTTAATAGGACGTTAAATGAAATTAAACCAAACCAAAGGAAGGAGTGAATGATTTTGTTGTTTAGTTAATGTCTTTATATTTGTAATTTTAATTCCAGGATGTAAAAAAAACCAAGAAGGTGACATCCCGGAGTGAAAAGAGGGGGCGCGGACGACCAAGGAAACAGGAATGAGTGGAGTGAGTTAGGTTCTCCAGATTGGATAATAGTAAATCTAGAGTTCATAGAATAAGCTTACATATGTATATAGCAAAGTTTTATACAATAAACTGGAGATAAAAAAAATAGTAGTATGGTTATTTATATAAATCATACGTACAGAGGATATAAATTTAATGTTTACAATTTGAAAAGTGAATACCATAAATATCTAGGGTGGCAGAATGTATCTATTTCACAAGTGCTTATTTATTACAATGGGAAATTGAAGGAAGAAGTTGATTTTTTGACATCTGACTGACGCAGGAAACCAAAGAATAGAATCTCCTAATAATTCTGTGACCTGACCGTATTTGATATTGTTGTGATCATGAAGATTATGTACAGTTTTTATATAAGCTATATTTGACTTGCTATTTGATGTTGTTGTGAAGATTATGTACAGTATATAATCTAGTTCTATTTGTCATGTTACAGACGTGTACAGTGGCTGGTTCTAGTCGATACTGAGTGTGGTGCAGCTTACCGGTAATTTCCCTTTCTGGATGATCTGGCTGTGCCTGCAGATATTGTGCACCACCGTTAACTTGTTAGCAGCTTTTCAACTTCTCAGACAACATGTACAGACACTCTGTGTGTGTGGGACTCCATTACTGCCAGACTCCCGACATCTCTTCATCATTTCATACATCATAAGCTGTTTATAGCCATTACGCAAATCATTAGTCCACAGGTCATTATTCAAATTCATTTTGTAAATGTACCTTGTAATTTCATTTAATTAACATCTCATCAAGATTTCGGCGTACATTTCCTTTGTAAAAAAATCATTTTTGGTCATGTTTTAGATTTTCACATTTTGAATTTGTTTTTCACTTTTGAGAGCAAAGTATTGTAAAGTGTGATTATTTTTACTAGTTTGAAATTGGGTACTTTATGAAACGAACTTTGGACTCTGTGAAGTTTAAATGCTGTGACCATGCAGCACTCAGTAAGACTCACACAATTTGTACTTCCACGTTTTGCTTGTCCCCAATTGATGTTAGTCATATTTCTGTGGTATGTGTAATTTTGTATTTAATTGATAAGTGAGAAATTGTTGTTAATTTTCCAACTAAATGAACTTCATTTTTAAAACATCCAATTTTGATATGTATCTCATATTTTTTTTATTCTTGATCATATTAGTATAAAAGTATAAACAATGTTTTAAATATCTCTTGATACAGTACTGGTTGTTTGTAATTTTTGGAGAAATTTTTGAAATGTTTTTAAACTGACACTTTTTTTCTGTGTAAAAGTAAGTGTAAACTGTTAACAGGAAAATGGCACCTGTTACAGGCCGTCTTATCAGTGATAACTTATGTTGAACAGTATTAAGTTGATTCAACTCATTCACCCCTGAAGACACATTTGGACTCTTCTAATTCAAAGGTTGGAATAGTTCATTATGAAACTTCAGGGGTATATGAGTTAAATGCAATTCCGTGAAATGTTTATTTGTTGTAAATCACTGCCAGTCCTCTTTGATGTGATAAACTTGAGTCTACCATCTACGACTGTCTTGCTCTGTAACCTTAATCTGCAGAAGAAAAAAATAAATGAAAACTTTTAATTACTGAATTCCTTTAAAGTAATTGCTATTGAAAATTTCATGTTGGTTTTATATTTTTAATAAAATGCTTTGTACAATATACTGTATTGTTTTAGAGAATGTTATTGTGTTCGCCGTTATTGGGGTTCTTTTGTGGTTGTAAAACAGGATGTGTTCAACAAATGTCATGAAATTTTACATAAAGAATGAAGTGTTCTGGAATATTAACATATGTTTTGAACAAATTTTGTTTCATTTTTGCAAGTTTTAACTTTATTTTTTTTCTGCGTATTTATTACACATTAGGAACCGAACGAGACTGGAGTTTGATATAAACAGTCTGGTACATTTTTTTGTAGTTGAGATACAGTTTTTCTTTCCTTATGTGTACTATACCAGTACGAGGCAGCAGCTGTGTTCAGTCAAGTGTAACCAGTAGTGGGTGTGGCCTATCTGTGTGTGTTGTCTGTCACCAGTATAAAGGAGTAAAACGAGGAGCAATAAATGGCAGACTTTTATCAAATCTTGTCTCTTGTCTTTTATGATTATATACCCCCAACATGGTATTGCAGAAAGTCTACACAGAACCCTTGTACCTCTATCCGTCCAATCCAGATGTCATGGACACAGTTTTGTAGAAAAGGTTAAGGATGATTAAAATAATCAAACTTACAATATACATCCCTCACAGGAACGTGTTGCTCTGATTAGATTTTGAATGACTAAGGGAATCACTTTAAGAAAAAAATTCATTTGGCCATCATTTCTTAGCATGGATATTTGCTATAACAGAGCAAAGACTATTACCTCCTAAACAGGTTGTTTTCAGACCCTTGCCTACTTTGTGAGGTATTTCCAGACCCTTGCCTACTTTGTGAGGTATTTTCAGACCCTTGCCTACTTTTTGAGGTATTTCCAGACTCTTGCCTACTTTGTGAGGTATTATTAGACCCTTGCCTACTTTGTGAGGTATTTTCAGACCCTTGCCTACTTTGTGAGGTATTTTCAGACCTTTGCCTACTTTGTGAGGTATTTCCAGACCTTTGCCTCAAAAGTAGGGTACCCTAGCCACACCGATGAATCCTGAAAGGACAAAACAGCTAGATGTATGATGCAATATTATTTATTTTTAGCATGCTGTTTCTATTACCAAATTTTAAAGATGTAATTAATTACCTGTGTGTCTAGCGTTAATTTTTCAAGTTTAAGTTGACTCTGGGCCAAATAGAATTTTTTGATAAAAAGTAATGTACTTAGAAACTTAGAAATAAATGAGTTTTCAGACAATTTCTTTGTAACAGATTTATGAATACTGACCAAGATTCATCAAAAATACATGTATTGTAAATATTATTTCTTAGAAAATGAAAAAGTTCATAAAAAAAAAAAAATGGCTGAGACAGGTGGATCTTAGCAAGGGGTAAGAACTTTTCGGACAAATGTCTTTGATTAAGGGGTTAATTAAATATAATATGAAATTTTGGAGGACGGGGAATTCTTATGTTGGTGCCAAAACATGAAGAAGGGTTACATATATGTTACAGTATGGATATCTTTACTTTCAAATTAACAAGAAAATGAAAACAACCTTCATAAATTTTGCATAGAAATCCTTAGCGAAATAAAGCACAAATTATAAATTGTTTTGTTTTTGGATTTCATTTGGCACCGATGGACCCCCGTACATAATCAATAACAATTTAGAAGGAAAATAATGGAACACTGCACACAGTATTTAGACTAGGTTTTGGTGTAAACTAAGTAAAACATATATACAACATAATTTGATAATTTCCAAAAGACTTGATGATTGGAGTCCGATTGTGGATATTTTGATTTAAAACAAACTACAACCCTAAATATTGAGATAGACTTATTACAATGTTAAACAGTAAAACAAATTACGTCAAAATGGTGAAAGTCTGATCATCAAACCATGAAAATTACATTTTAAAAGATTGACATTTTTTATATAATATCAAAATGCAAATCACAAACGGCACAATATTGTTACTAGGTAAAGAGTCGGGGTTTTCTTTCGGGGGGAAAAATGGAAATAAAAAAAAAATGTTTTCTGGAGAATCCGGGCATCGATCCCGGTACCTCTCACATGCTAAGCGAGCGCTCTACCATCTGAGCTAATTCCCCAGTTGTTTGCTGCATGGTAAAAATAGGACCAGTGGGCTGAGTGTAATGGCGGGTAGTGAGTGATCAAAGGTTACAGTGTAAAACATGTAAGACCCTATACGACTTCTCGAGATTTAATCATAAAGCAACGTTCGGGAAAGATACTAAGCGAGCGCTCTACCATCTGAGCTAATTCCCCAGTTGTTAGCTCCGGGGTAAAAATAGGACCAGTGGGCTGAGCGTAATGGCGGGTATGGAGTGATCAATCTAATTCCCCAGTGGTAATATAACGTGGGGTGTAAATAGCGGGCTGTCAAATCTAAGGTTTATAAGATGAGAGGGAGAGATATCAAAATTGTTCAAATAAATGACATCCATTTAAGGTCACATGTTAAAAAAAAAAAAATGACTTCTTCTTGAGACATAACCATAAAGCCTATAGGGTCATATTTTTTTACCAGTAGACTGGGATTGAGGTGCTGGGCTACTTTTACTTGCAAGTTCTGCTTTTCTGTTTTAATTGTTTGTAAAAAGAAATAGGCCGTGTAGGGGATAACCCGCTCTACTATCTGAGCTAATTACCCTGTCGAGAGGCAATGGAACAGTAACTATGACTTGACTGAGCAAATTGACAGGCTACCAAAGTTGTAAGGCTGCGATAATGCTGCATTTCTATTTATAAAGATCTCAGAATTCTTAAATCAGTCACATTTACCGTTATTTAAGGTCATATTTGTTAAATACAGACTTGTATCAAGTGGCCCTGGCCCGTCACAATACCACACTATATAAATATATATATAGCAAATCTAACGCGGGAAAGTCTACTTATGATATCGCGGAGGTTCTACCGTTTTGCGATAGAAATGTTCGATGTTGAGTAATATGTGTACTTGGTTAATAAAACCAAAAAGTCTGCATTCGTTAGATTTCAGTACATAACATCTTAATCATTCAGTCAATATTAACATTATTTTTTTGGAGAAAAGAGAGATCTGGAGAATCCGGGCATATATCCCGGTACCTCTCACATGCTAAGCGAGGGCTCTACCATCTGAGCTAATTCTCCAGTTGTATGGTGTAGGGTAAAAATAGGACCAGTGGGCTGAGCGTAATGGCGGCCGGTTGTCAAATAAGATATTGAGTGATATCAAAATTGTTCAAATAAATAACATTTACCTTCATTCAAGGTTACATGGTAAAACATGTTTAAGTAAGTATGCGACTTCTCGAGACTTAATCATTATTAAACGACGTTCGGGAAAGACAAAATCTGGAGAATCCGGGCATCGATCCCGGTACCTCTCACATGCTAAGCGAGCGCTCTACCATCTGAGCTAATTCCCCAGTTGTATGGTGTAGGGTAAAAATAGGACCAGTGGGCTGAGCGTAATTTGGCGGGTTGTCATATCTGTTAGGCTAACATGATATGAAATTAGATGAGATTGAGTGATATATAAATTGTTCAAATAAATAACATTGACCTTCATTCAAGGTTACAGTGTAAAACATGTTTAAGTAAGTATACGACTTCTCGAGACTTAATCATTATTAAACGACGACGTTCGGGAAAGACAAAAATCTGGAGAATCCGGGCATCGATCCCGGTACCTGTCACATGCTAAGCGAGCTAAGCGTGGATGGTTACTTTATCCAGCAGGTTTTCATTTTCTGTCCTGTCTTCGATCTGAGTTAATTCCCCACCTATCATTGTAAGGGTAAAAATTGGAGTAGTCGGAGGAGCTACCGGAGGGTTATCAAAGCTAGCCCTGTCCAACCCGTTATCAAGGCCACATGATCAAATATAAAAGTCTTTAAATTATTTCTTTTCGATAAGTGCGAAACAATTTATCATTATATTTGTCGTTCTCTATATTCCTTACTGAAATTGAGTTAATAGAACTGATAAAATAAATCAATATTCAGTAAAACGGCGGAAAATACTGTTTATGTTTAAAAAACATTTTGTGAGACTGAACAGCAGGTTTTCAGTTTCTGTCCTGTCTTCGATCTGAGTTAATTCCCCACCTATCATTGTAAGGGTAAATATTGGAGTAGTCGGAGGAGCTACCGGAGGAAATACCGGTAAGAATAACCGATGTACTTGGAAATATTTACGTTTAAAAAAAATCGGCATTCGTTAAAATGATTACATATTATCTGNGTGGTGAGATAAAAATAGTAACAGTGCGCTGAGTATAGCTAGGTGGCTATAAACGTTGTAAGGCTTGGGTCGTACCATCTTCGAGATCCAGCGGGGGGTTCCAATCCCTATACACGTGTCTTTTGTGTAACAAGAGTGAAACACTTGGATGTCTAGGAAGGCGACATCCCATATACCGTATGGCTTAGCCGAGGTAGATAGATATCAAACATGTTCAAATAAAGGACTAAAATAATCTTCCCCTACCTTGAGGGTGGGACAGAGAAGTCTCAAACCCGAGGGGAGATGTACTTGGCAATATTTACATTTTAAAAAAATCCGCATTCGTCAAAATGGTTACATATTATCTGAGACGTTCAGTCAAGATTAACATTATTTTTTGGGGAAAAGATAGATCTGGAGAATCCGGGCATCGATCCCGGTACCTCTCACATGCTAAGCGAGCGCTCTACCATCTGAGCTAATTCCCCAGTTGTATGGTGTAGGGTAAAAGTAGGACCAGTCGGCTGAGCGTAATTTGGCGGGTTGTCATATCATTAAATATAACATGATATGAAATTAGATGAGATTGAGTGATATCTGAATTGTTCAAATAAACAGCATTGCCCTTCATTCAAGGTTACAGTGTAAAACATGTTTAAGTAAGGATACGACTTCTCGAGACTTAATCATTATAAAACGACGTTCGGGAAAGACAAAAATCTGGAGAATCCGGGCATCGATCCCGGTACCTCTCACATGATAAGCGAGCGTGGATGGTAACTTTATCCAGCAGGTTTTCATTTTCTGTCCTGTCTTCGATCTGATCTAATTCCTTACTTATCATTGTAAGGGTAAACATGGGACCAGTCGGATGAGTTACCGGAGGGTTATCAAAGCTAGCGTTGTCCAACTAGTTATCAAGGTCACATGGTCAAATAAAGAAATCTTTAAATAACCTTAGTGAAATTGAGTTATTAGAAATTTGAAAATAATTCAACTTCCAGTAAAACGGCGGAAAATACTGTTTATGTTTAAATAAAACGTTTTTTGAGACAGAATGGTCGGTCCGAATAACCGATGTAGTTGGCAATATTTACATTTAAAACAAAATCCGCATTCGTTAAATTGGTTACAATACATAATATCTTAGTCGTTCAGTCACGATTAATAATATTTTTTTGGGAAAAGAGTGATCTGGAGAATCCGGGCATCGATCCCGGTACCTCTCACATGCTAAGCGAGCGCTCTAC